AAAAAAACTTAAAATTAAATTTTAAATTTTAGCTATGGCTAATAAGCTAAATAGCAAACGATACTGCTAGAGAGAGCATGAGATTATAGCCGGACATAGAAGATAAAATATATTTTTTCTCTAGAGTGTATAAATAGTAGTGGGCCTATTGAGAGTGAGTACTGTTGATTATTATACAAGCTAGTAGCTACTCTACTAGGATTTACTCATGGAGCGTGTCCAGTGGTGGATCAAAAAATTGCTTTAGCCGATAAATTAATAGCTCCTTTAAAATGCAAGATTGAGAAAATGGAGGAGTAGAAAAACATGGAATTCTAACATGTATTCAAGTGCAAAACAGATGATAGTAAAATCTATATCTATATCTATACTATTATAAAATTCGAAGATGTTTTTGCCGGTATTTCAGTACGTTATCCGTATTTGAGTCGGTTTTTTAAGTTTATTCTCTTTTAAAAATACAGATCCGTGTTTGAGTCGAATTTTAAGTCCATTTGCTTTCAGAAATATAAAATAAATCGTATAAGAAATTTCTTTAAAAAAAACATGCATGCTAACTTGAGATGAAAGTTGGACTCCTAATTGCAGCTCGTGATTTTCTAAAAAAAAAATCTAAGCGAATTCCCACATTGAATTCTATCCCATCTAAACCGTATATAATAATAATAAGATTAAAATAACATTCACCCGTTGCAACGCACAAGTATTTTTTTTCTAGTATAGAAAAAATACATGAATAATCGTGACTCATAGTAGTAAACTTTCCATGAGGTTGGACCTCATATTAAAAGTCCTTCAAAACTAGTATAGATTGAAGCATTTCTTAGGAATTTAATAGGATTCAATCCTTTGTTTCAAAAGGCGATATAACAAATTCCTACAGAATTGGAATCCTATAAAATTTTTATGTTTTTCTTTCAAATCAAAAGGTGTGTAAACAGCTAGTATGCTAAAAAATTCTATTTTAATTTTTTAATCATATACTCCTATTAGTGTCTTAGATGGATCATCCGCCAGCTAAGGCAGTCGCCTTAGCAGCACCATTTCCCTTTCAGAAGTCTACACATTTTTAGCGCATCTAGCAATATTGAGCCACAAACAATTTAGAGTAAATTGCACCCACGGTGTATCAACTTGGCAGGTGGGTACAATTTGGTGTAAGAACTTGAGAAATGAGCGTTCTAGTGCAACAACTTGGCAAATATGTGTAATTTAGTATAATAACTTTATAAGTGATCGTATAAATGTAACAACTTGCAAGGTAGGTACGATTTTGATGCAATAAACTAAGAAATTATGCGACAAGTATTTTTTATATAGATTCAATTTAAGTAATTATTTTGACAATATACTAGTGTGGATTTGTATAAGCAATTTATATTTATATTATAATAATTAATAACTTAGAGTCAATTAAACTTGATGTAAAAATTATTATATTTCAGTTGATATTTGAGAAGGTAAAAAAAAACATAAAAAAATCTTAAGGTAATTGGATGTAAACTGTATGTGCGGTATAATTATTAAATATTAAATTTAATATCTAAGGTAATATCAGTAGGATTGCTATGTAATGGCATTATTGACGTCGGGAAAAAAAACTCACCTAGCATATGCCTAGCCAAGTTGATGCACCAAAATACAAATTGTCAAGTTCTTGTACTAGAACGCACCTACTTATTACGTTGTTGCACTCGGACGCTTAATTCTTAAGTTCTTACACTATATCGCACCCACCTGCCAAGTTGTTGTACCGTGGGTGTAATTTACTCAACAATTTATATGTATAAGTGTGTACGTAGAAACATCATGCATAAAAACTTTTATATAAAACCTTCAATATTAAAAGTTCTATACATAGAAACTTTCGATATAAACATTTTATATATAGAAACTTTATGCAAACTTTCAGCACTAATACTTTAAATATAGAAACTTTTGGTACAAACTTTATACGTAGAAACTTTTGGAGCATGAAAGCGCACATTGCCCAGCAGACTGTGTAAAAGGAAAAGGAATAAGGGTCTGTTTGGTTGCTACCCTGAGGAAAATTTGCCTGACCTGATACAAGCCTGAGCATAGCATGTGGTTGTTTGGTTGCTAGCCTGACGCGTATTCTCCCTCGCCTGGCCTGAATCCCTCTGGCGTGGGATTAGCCTGAGCTCCAGGCGTAGCAGCGCTCTACAGTTACATTCCTAATCCTCTTTAGACAGGCCGCGGGATGCTGCTGCTGACCAGTGTCGCGTCGACACCACACGAGTCGCCGCCGATGCCAGCGTAGCCGCCGCTGCCGACACCACACGAGGTCGTTGCTGCCGCCAACGACGACGAGTGAAGCCTATGCAGCTGCTGCCGTCGACACCACACGAGGTCGTCGCCGCCGCCAACGACGACGAGTGAAGCCAGCACAGCCACCGTCGACGACAACGTGTGATGCTGGCGCCGCCGCAACCGCACGAAGCCTCGTCAGATCAGATGCCGTTTTCTCTGCTGCATCATTGGATCCGGCCGTCCACACGAAGCAGCTGCCGCCGCCTGCTGGATCTTGTGTCCTAATCTTGCTTAACATGTAGATGTGAGGAATTCCTATGGTCTTGCTTAGGCTTAGCATGCAGATGTGAGAAATAATGGAAGGTTGATGCGGTTGGATTTGGGAATCTCTTTTCTCGTATTCAGCTTTCTTTTTCTTCTTGATGGCAGATACGTTGGATTTGGGGATCTCTTTTCTCATGTTCTCCTCTGATTCTCTTCTTGATGCATTCAATTGATTTTTCCATGGTTTAGATTTATTTCGGTTGGAGGGACGATGCAATTTTATGGTAAGATTTGTTTCTTTGCCATAAACATGTTTAGCTGTAATTGTGTGAAGCATAATCGTAGTCTTTTTTCTCAGGCCATGGTGGCCAACCAAACAAGTAAGGTCACAGGCTGCCTGGACAGGCAAAATTCATGAACTGGTTATGTGCCTCTCAGGCATGCAAATTTGTCAGGCTTGGTGCTCAGGGCACCAACCAAACAAGCCTAAGTCCACTTGACATCCTTCATCATTTCATCGAGTTTAAAGCATCCCCAATTGCAACACCAGAGATCTTGAACCTCCAACTTGCAAAATGGGGTTAACTTAGGTCCTCTGGCAATATAGAAGGCCGGTTTCATATGATGTAGCAAGTTGACTACGGTCACCCTGGCTAAGTAATTGTGGGACCCACATGGCCCCATATGTAAGTTGCATAAAAAAAAGTATACAAGAAAAGCCCTTCTCTAATTCTCTCCCACCTTTCCCCCAGCACACGGTGGGACAACGCACCTCTCTCTCTCTCTATCCCAAGCTTTGGTATCGGGGCATAGGGTAGGCGGAGGCCGAGGACGGTGCAGCCGGTGAGGTCGAGGTGAGGCGCGGAGGAGATGGAGGCCAAGGATGGCTTCTCCTTCCCTTCTGTGTGCATGCCGACTTCCTCCTCCTCTCTACCCATGACGCCAATCTATCGTGTCAATGCCCTCCACTTCCTCACAGGTGATGATTAGCTTCGCCACCATGCCCTATCGGCTATCGCGTTGGTCTGCTGCTCTCAACCACCAATTATGTCCTCGTTCGCCATGGATCGCACTTGTAGTAAGAACAGCAACAACACCAACCCGCATCTCGACGTTAACAAGCTCGGCCGCAACATCCATAAGGCTACGCCTCCACCTCTGCAGCCGCAGGTCTACAACATTAGCAAGAACCAGTTCAACTATATAGTCCAGTAGCTCACGTCCAACACCCTTTCCCCCACCCCCGTTGCCACACTAGCAGCCCCCTCACTTCTGGTTTCCACCGCAACACCAGCAGCCCAAGCCCCTGCATGCTCCTCTAGAAGATTCATCTGCCCCCAGTCTCCACCCCCGTCGCCCCCCCCCCCCCCCCCCCCCCCCCCGCGCGCGCGCCCCTATCCACCCATCAAAACCCCCAACCCTAATCAAAACCCCGCCTTCCACCACCAGTCACCACCGCAACCCATGCCCCCTCTCCCCCACCCCCAACCTAGGCCAACTCCACGTCTTCGCCTACATGCGCATCCTCGAGAACTCCCTATTCAGCACCACCCTGCCTGGCGCCGCCACCGTAGGCCCCTTCGTACCATCCTCAACCACCCTCCCCCTGCCCTCATAGCCGGTGCTGTCACCAGGGACACTCCCCTTGCCAACGCCCAAGTCATCGTACCCACTACTTTCAATGAGATCTGAGCACTCGGGGCTACTCAATTTTTTGTGTGACTTACATGTGGGGGCCACTTAGGTCCCATGCTAACTAGGACAGGTTGATTGTAGTCAACTTGCAATGTCAATGAAATCAACCTTCCATACTATTGGAGGACATAATTTAACCGATGTGATTTGAACTCGATGAAAAAAAAGGTTAAGGGATGTCAAGTGGACTCATTCCAAAAAAAAAAAAGGAAAGGAAATAGGCTAACTCGATACGTAAACCGGCCAAGCCCAAAACTGAAAAGTTGAGCAGGAACGATTTTGCTATATATTTGTCGACAAATTTTTCCCCAAATATTTGACAGATGTAATTACAGTACAATCATAGTGTAATTACACTGTAACTTGCATATAATTACACTGTAACTATAGTGTAACTTGTATGTAACTTTTAAAAATCTCTCTGTAACATGTTATTTCGGTAAAATGGAGGTCGTGGGAACAAATTCTTTCACATATGTGTGCTATGATTTGTTTTCTTCCTCACCAAAACAAATCTTGTAATAGATCTAACGATTCAAAATTATGTGAAACTTACATATAAGTTACACTGCAGTTACATGCAAGTTACAGTGTAATTACATATAAGTTACAGTGTAATTACACTACGATTGTACTATAATTATATCTGTCAAATTTTTAGGGAAAAATTTGTCGACAAATGTATAGGTAGTCCCGAGCAGGAAAGAGCGTTCGCATCCGAAACGGAAATATTTCTTCTAACATATTCTTTACCTCATCCCAACCAATCCTTTCTAATAAATAGTTTATTTTATTTTCTACGTTCGAATTCTCCAAACTTACAAAAAGAAGCATAAAATTGTCAGGGTTGAGGCACATAAAACATTATTATATTTGCCGCTAAAGATTCTTTTTTTAATACTGCTAGCCTTATTACACTTCTGTCTACATTCAATAGCTTTCTAACCAGGCGCATGCGTGGTATATTCACAAACTAAGCTATCGACAAATGTAAATGGATTCAGAGTTCAGACCTGCAACCTGCTGCAAATAAATCGGTCGCAGGCGAGCATGTTAGTACGTATATACATCAATCATGCCTGTTACCGACTTTGCTTAGCGCCAGTATTGAGCCCATCTATGGATTGTCTCAACCATCTGAGGGAACAAAGCGCTGACGCTTTCGTTGATAAGATCTTGGAAGAAATGTATGGCTTCCTCATCTTCCAGATCAAGCCGAAATTTCTCTTGAAGCTGCTCTCAACATAGAAAAATATGGTCAGTTTTAGAGTGCTATGTTCTTTAATCATGGGGCTCAACTCATGATAATGAAAATATGGTCATTTCGATTGCTATGATCTTTATAAAAACTCATGGGCTCAAGTCGTGAAAACGGCTTAAGTACCTTAAGGCCTGCATTTTCCTCGTTAGTGATGTCTGGAATATTTGATCTTCTCATCAAGTTGAACAGATTCAATATGAGGCTACTGGACTTCCTTAAAATGTTGTATGCTTCGCAACAGTATGACTTGAATCTCGTGTAGTATTGGCTGAAAACGAGCAATCGGCTTTTAGCAGAGGAACAAATCATGCAGATATCCCGCCAAGTTAGTTAAAGAGTTTACCTTTCTGCACCACCCATGGCCTCAACCATTTCTTTGCATAGTTTCATTGGTGGTGGAAATGGCTTTGGATCTTTACCCAGAATGAAAGCGAAATCAACGTGGAAGAGGCGTCCATCATCTGTTAGAAGAAGATTATCCAGATGCCTAGAATGGGAGGAAAAAGAACATTTGTCATTCCTATTGTGAAACATCATATCATGGTTCTTAGCACACTAGTAGCTAACTAGCTACATATATCCAGATGGCAGAAAAAACTGTAACATCAGCATTCAGCCAGGTCCTCTCTTGACAAACTGGACATATGGACATTACTACAAAATATGCTGTGACCATGGATAGAGTTCAGTTAAAGTATGGGGAACACTAGCAAACTTTGACCCGCATAATGTAGAATGATATGCCTAATATTGTCAACAAACCAGAAAGTCCAAGTTGGGCCTGCATATATGATTATATCCTTGGTAAAAACAAACACAACTCTCAACCATTTTCATGGCTGATTATGAATCATGTAAAAAAAACATGAACTGGGATACAGACAAGTTATTCAAAGGCACATTAAGTAGCATGCGATGCACAGCAATGTATGATTGACAGCTAAAGGCTGCTGAATGTAATATGTTTCTCTCTTATCACCTTCGTGAATGAAGTTTTAATAAGGTTAACTAGCCTATAAGTACTCATAAGTGATAGTCAGAACCAAAGGCACCAAGGGTCTGAGATTTTGAGAAATAAAAATGCGAACCTGTCTCCAACCCCCATTATATATGTAATGACAGAGTAACCAGCACAGCTTTTTATGAAAGTTTCCAAGCACTGAGCAGTTATACCAAAAGGACCATCTTCATCAGGATGAAATTTTTGTAGGTAACTTGTAATAGTGCGATGTTCTGATAGAATCTGAGAAGAAACAATTACTTGAATCAACAAAGATAATCATGAAATGAAGCTACAATTTGCATATAATTTCACCCGAATGGAAAAGACAACTTCTGGCAATTCAACAGTGGCCGTCGTGATAATCATTAATCAATACCGAGTTACCTGTGCAAGTGAACTGGAAGGAATAAATTCAAGCATTCCTTCATCTGGTTGAGTTGCAAGAACTCGATATGGAGTAAGGTGTAAATCCATATTTTCTAATTTGAGCAGCCGGTCCATCAAGGAGACCATTTGAATAACCTATAAAGAACAAAGAAATAATTAATCACAATTCACTCCCACACAAGCGTCTGAATATGAGTTGCAGAGGTAGACAATACATTTGAATTATATTTATTCTTACATCTTCGCCATTTTAACTATTTGGTTTACTTCTCTTAACTTGCATACATATCCTAAATACCTACAGGTCCCTTGCCTTTTTTTCATCCCCTGTTACAGGAAGAAGTTTCATATAGTTGATTTGGATCGCAACAACTATCATTTCAGATGGTTAGAAAATATATCTTTCATCTCTTTTAAGTATTCAGCCATATCAAGTAAAATAAAATGACTGTTTCAGTGTTTTCTGTTCCTAGTATGCGGGTCCGTGAAATAGCACTGAGAAGTCTAGAATGAGCTTTTCATGTGGAAGGAAGCATGATCAAGGTCAAGTTTTTTTTAAAAATCTTCTCAGCATTTCAATTTGCAGGAGAATAATAGACTTCAGTTTCATTTCCGGACTCTAAGGATGGTTCCTATGTGTCTCCTTATTTTCCATTATGAACGGTCTGACAAAAGCAGTGGTAAAAGGTTCCCCATCCTTATCATCAGTATTGTTGTGCCTCAATGAACGTTATTTTCTTTACTCTCAAATCTACTTTTTTAAAAATATTTTTATTTTTCACTGCGTGCTTTACTAAATTTGTCTAACAAAATATATAACTGCATAGTCTCTTCTCAATGCTGTCCATCCTGATGGTTTCCTACCAGTAACGCATGGGGCATCATCTAGTTTATGCATAGTATATGCTAAATATGCCTGTTCGGTGGGCATTGCTGTGGCTGCAGCCGCAGCCGCTGTACAATACATACGCTGTATGTATAGGTGCGTCGCAGCCACAGCAACAGGCTGCCAAACACAGCCAGAATTAAAAGTTTAAAACCACAAGACGAAGGCTCTAAAAACTGCTAGACATAGTATATATACATGAATTAAAAGTTCAAAACCACGAGAAGAAGGCTCTAAGAACTAAAATCTACTCCTACATAACACCATGAAGCAGCTTGTGATGTGTTCTTTCGGGAATTGTAAACACTATTCTCAACACAACAAAGACCAGCACATAATAGATCAGACAGTACAGTGGACCAACCAGCTGTTACCAAGCAACCAAATATCCAGCTCAAGCAGCTCTGATTTAGAGCATAGCATTGTCAGTTGAATACATGTTTTTCAATAATTTCAGAAATATTTATAACGTAATCACTTGCTCAGAAAGCCAAACCACGTTACCCTTACATAAAGAGGGTGACCCATTGGCATACAGACTAGAACAAAAAGAAAAAGAAAAACTTGGAAATAAATATAAAGGCACATTGAAAATTACCAGCTGATCTTGGCGGAGATCATCTCCCTTTTTATAAATTATCTTCGATATTCCCCCATTTGCGGTCTTAAAGGCAAGGCGCAAAGGATGCAAGGCACTTTTAAATATAGATGATTCTTGAGGTATAACCCCAGTAAGGAGAACAGTTGGTGCTAATGGTGAACGAATTGGCTGAAATTAATAAAACGGAACTCATCAGTTCAAGCAACCACACAAGTTAATCTGAACTATGATATGTTTCTCTAGCACTGAAAAACAGGAGACAGACAACACATTAATGATGAAATAAGTTGCACCTCATCAAAGTTGGTAAGCTCACTGAAAACTCCTGATAATAATTGTCTTAATCCATCGATTTTCTTTTGTGCACTACCACGAACTTGTTTTACATCCTTCATAATAGAACCTAACTGAGCCATAAGTTCAGTCTGCCGTGTTAAACTCTGCCAAAGTCGAAATCCGTCTTCATCACCATCATCCCTAGCAAACTGAGCAGAAACATCCATAAATATAATTGCATGTAATATTAGTAAGGGCAGAATCAAGAGATGTATCCAAAATGGAAGAAAAACGCACTTTCATCATGCCATTTTCAAGCAAGTCATATGTACTGTAATACCGTCTTGCATATGCAGTGTCACGCAGCTCAACGACCACATACCAGCGAAGGAAGCTAGCAATTTCAATGTTTGATACAGCTGAATGGATAAAAGACCATAAAATTTGTGTTAGTTTTCTATATATCAGTTTAACAAAAAGAGCATCATGATAAACGCATATAGCCTTTGTGAGGACATAAAGAATATTAAGTAATTAAAGGTCTGACAGGGGTGAAGCTACAGTAGTATGACATATCTGAGAATTAATATTAAGCATTTTGGGTTGCACCGGGAGTTAGGTCATCCATAACTATTGCACAGTAATGAACATCTGGCAATCTCGCCTATATTTAGGCATGTTAAATACTCCATCCATCCACAAATATAAGCATTTCTAGGAGTTTTAGCATAGAGTAAGGTTGGTGTAGAATTACCTTGATGCCCCCAAAAAGTTTACCTGCTTGGAAAAGATCACGCCTACCGATGCAGCAATAAAAGCAGGAAATCATGGGGGGTGATTGGATTGGGAAAGTGGTACTCCAAAAATGCTTATATTTATTGGCATATTTCAAACGCTAAAAATTGCTTATATTTGTGCATGTGAAGAAAGTGCATTTTTTTTCCAATATTACATATTCTGAACATTTCATCAAATTCATGGTTGCCAAATGCCACAGATGGATTCCTCGTGTCATTTTCACACAGGCATAGATGGATTTCAATAACAAGAGAACACACCTCCCCTCAAAAAAAAAAAAAGAAAGAAAAACAAGAGAACATACCACGTTTTACAAGAAAGTGTGCCAGACAAGACTCATCCGATCTTTCAAACCGAAGAGCTTGCACTAGCTGGAGTAAATAGCATTGTAATTCTTCATCATCTGCCCTTTCAAGTATGTTGACGGCATAAGCTCGAACCTTTGCGCCAAAAAATGGATATGTTACAGAAATGATAAATATATCCTTCCAGTCACACAGTGCCATGTGCCAATGCCAACTACATGAAAACCACCCTAGCACGTACTCTTCTAAGAAAACAAGAAGCATCCACAGACAAAGGTTAGATAAAAAGCTCACCTCCTCACTTTCAAAGTCTGGTGAGAGAAGCTCTAATGCATCAGCCACATCAATTGTTTCCCACTTTCTAATCAATTCAACAGCTTGTTTAGCTTCCTGCATGGCATTATCACATACTAATTATAAGAAGCTACCAAACCACATAGACATTAGATCAAGAAAATGAGGAGTTGACAGATCTAAAGATAATGAGGAAATTTCTTAGAAATAAACTTGAAATGATACTGCGACATCACAAAATCTAGTTGCAATGAACATCCGTGTATCATTTTCCCTGGCCTTAACAGCTTGTTTGGTAAGGCAAATTATTGCGACGGAATGGGAGGGAGTTGGGTTATTAATTTCGTTGTTAGCTTGTTTGGATGAGGGAAATTGTTTAGAGGAGATGGGACTTTAGAGGGTGGAGGTTATGAAACATTTTGTTTGTTTGCCAGGAATGGGAGTTTAGGTGGGATAGGGACAGAGTTTGAGGGGGCTAACTCCCACACTTTTAATACATGGGGAAGGGGTGCGAATTGCTTTCTTATGTAGAGATGAGGCAAATCCTAGCCCTTCATCATCACTTAAAAAACAGTATTTTCAGCAATTCCTTGTGATTACACTCTTTGCCAAACAAGGGATCAAGAATTAAAAAAACAAACTCTCAAGACTAATCTGTCATGAATCCCTACTTCAAAGTCCCAATCCTCTTCCCAATTGTTGCTAAACACCTGTTGGGTATAACTGGCATTGGAGTTTAGAACTTCAGATAGGATGGCAGTGGGGAATTTGAGGGCTAACTCCACTATTTTAATACCTAGCAGGGGCCAGGAATTGGGATGGAAATCCATCTTTATGTTAAGATGGATAAATCCCAGCCCTTCATCATGACTTAAAATAGTCTCCACACTAATTCACTGTAACTTCTCATCTCACTAACCAGGCAAGGTGGAAACCAAAAAAAAAAAAAAAACTCAAGACTAATTCACCATAAACTCTCATTTGAACTCCCATTCCCTGTGAACTCTCAATTTTCGTCAAACAGGCCATATTCCTAACAGTTCCAACAAGCCAAAGAAGTGAAGAACACACAGGCATGCAAAGGGACATCCTCCAGTCCACTGATCCTAATAAAAAATATGGCAATACAATGCAAAAACGGCAATAAGATGTGTGGATGCTTTTACTAACTTGGATATCGCTCCAGTCCACTGCACGAACAAACTTTGTAAGAGCTTTCTTCTCAGACATCAAAGAGAACCGAAATTTCCAGACCAGCTGCTTCTCATCCACTTGTAAAGAGCGTGTAGGAGGAAACTTGATAATTCTTTGCAGACACCTAGACATAGAGTACTAGATTTAGGTAAAAAAAAATCCATGAATTCAAATTAGTGCTAATCAGAATTGAAGTTTTATTCCTGTCACTCCTAATTAAAGAAGCTGGAACTGGATGCAAATTGGTTGCCTCACAATTTTGTGTTGAAAAATTTAAGAGATTAGAGCAACCACTGTAAAAATTACACGATGCCAAGATTCACCATCATGTTATAGAGATAAAAGGCTAAAAAACATTATAAGGTGACAAGACAAGGAGGAAAGAATAAAATACAATTTGCACTCACTTTCGCTCATTTGAGCTTGGTTTCAGATCTTTATCAATTATTCCACGAGTTAGGCTCCTTGCAAGCTTTAACTGTTTGTGCTCAGATGGATTGGTTCTTCCTAGTTCAGGGTCCCATACAGTAACAAGTTGATTTGATAACAACACAGGGGCTGGTGCATAGAAATTTGCTCCAGATTCCTGCATGTGGAAAATTTGATAAAAACTTCTATAGCAGAGATGAACATATTATAAATCGGTAAATATTAAATGACTCTACACTTAACAAAAAAAAATGATAATCCATCCATGATCCATGACCAATTACAAGAAAAAACTATGGTAAAAATCAAAATGTCGACAATTTATCCAACAACAAAAAGAAAAGAAAAGAGTAACTAGAATAAAATATTATTCAGTTAAACAATGGATTGCACTGAACCAACCAAATGGCAAAAAGCATGCTTCAACTCAGAAAGATATTAACTATGATGGTGTATTTCATAGATTATGCGCTCAATATAACTTCCAAAGTATAGACTATGCTAGATTGTAAACATTATGTCACACTACATGTACAGTATTATATATTTATACTAAGAGAACTTGAAAATATTACGGCAAATTCATAATGAAAAAGAGAGATGAAAGACATATGTAAACTCAGTGGCGAAGAAAAGATAACCTGGAAGACAACTCTGTGTTCAAAACTGCAAAATTCAACAACAAGGCTAGGGTACAAATTTTCAGTTCTTTCACACTTCTCCTTAGCTTTGTCCATGGCTCTGAAGAAAAGACGATCCAACCATTCTACATGTTGTATCTGTCCTCTTTCATGCTTATTAACAAGCCTCTCCAAACGCTCTATCTCACCCCTCTCATTCTTAGGTACCTACATGTGTAATAGGAACAAAAAGAGGGTAAGTTCACTGTACGGAAGAGATGTAATAACCATTAGATTGAGAGATTAGTGAGCAGATCAGAATCAAAAGGGCATTAGAAGCAAATTATTTTTAGAACAACGCAGGAGAGTTGTGTGTCATTTCATTAAGAAGGAGAAAACATAGTATAAAAGGTCAAGAAGCACATCCTGACCCAAAAGCAAATTGAGCTCTTCATACAATATTACAACCTTGCCAGGAGTCGTGGTGGGGACTCTTCCATCTGCCTCCTTTTGGGGCCATAGTCGCAGCTTCTGCCTTCCTGTTTTAAGTTGCTTTTTGTTGTTGAAAAGAAATATGGTGGCTCCACCAACAATATTTCCGTCCTCACCAGATGACATATCCCAAACCTACAATATTCCAGATGGAAAGCATAGGAAGATAAGTGCAAGAGATAAACATATTCCTTTTTAAGGAACAAGCAACAGCCTTGTGTGTGAGTATATTAATATAAATGAAGCAAACATGAGTCTTACAAGATTTTTTTTTTTTAAGAAAAGCACAAAGATGCACAACAAGGAGACAAATAAAGCAACACATAGAACTGAAGGGAGCTTGAACCAACAATAGGCCAATAGAAGAGATGCTCGCCGCCACTCTTAAATCATCTAGGTGAAAAGGGTTTGAGCTCAACACTGACTAATGGAAACTCATGGCAGGCAGCACCAAAGTAAGTTTGCTGGGCATAGCAAAACAGTACTGTCGCTTCAAGAGGACTTCAAGTTCTTATTGAAAAACCATGCTCATCTCCAATAAACTTGGCCAAGAGATGCTAAGACAACATGCCACCTCCGAAAAGAATGAAAAGCCAGAATTTTGCACCAATGACATAGGTCCTTAGGCATGTCTTTAGTTAACTGCCATAATCGTGGCTAGCCACACCCCCTTCATTCACATGGCCCCACATGTCAATGGCTTGTTTTCATACTATTTGCCTCAAGTGTGGCCATGTGGCAAGCCACAACTTGCTTAAGTTGTGGTTTGACAAACTTAGCCATCAACCAAACACCCCCGAACTTCATCAGATATGATCCTTACATACATACAATTTCCACCGCCCAAAAGAGGAAATGCATTTATGCCTAACCCTGGAACTAGTCAATCAGTAGGGTGGTTAGTTCACCATACACCGTGCATGACTACCCATCCTCACAAATAATAGTGTTCACTTCAAACTATCCCATACACCGACAACTCATTTTTTAACACTAAGTATGTTGTTGGAACAAATCCCTACCGAAGATATCACCCCATGCATTCCCAAAGATAGTATCTTGTAGCTTGATAACTTTTGGCGTCTGAAGACAAGGAAACATACCGTGAACGCAAGCTGCGAAAGGGAGGTGAGATCCCTGTATTTCGCGGTGAGCGTCATAACCTCGTTCCAGAAGTATGGTGGCCCTGACGATTCGAGCCTAGCATGTAAGCGCGTAACGAAGATTCGATGAGAGAGTTATTACATTTCAATGCGTTTAGATAACAGAAAACAAAAAGGGGATACCTCGTGCTCACGGGCAAGCCGAATTGTATCCCATCGATGTAGAGTTTGCACTCAACAACAAGCTCCGGAACCTTCTTGTTGGTCGCCAAGGTTGTACAATCTGACAAACAAGAATGCCAAATAGGATCACAGATTCACAGTCAGTAATTGTCATGAGCTTAATCCTATATACCTATACAAGTCATCCCCACTAATTCTATTTTCCTGCTCTCTCGCTTTGCCACGTCACTGTCTATTCCCGTCCATCGGATCGGTCTGCTTTAACCGATCAGATTTTTTTGCAGTCCTTCCTGCCCTGCTCGGTTCTATAGATGCGGTAGGGAGCGAAGGGTCACCGGCTGCCTCCACTTTTGCCTTTTAATCTTCACCTTCTAATAACCACTGCTTGCATTATTGGAAGTTTGGAACGTCTCCTCCCTTCTCATCTTCTTTTATATTACGACACGCGAGTTGTTCTGCTAATTATGATTCAAGAAGAGAAGTGAGTATGAAGGTTGATGCTGCTGCTTCCTGGATGACTACGAGGACTGGAGGAGGTTATCTCTTTCCATGCCACGATATCCATTATTTCCATTGTAGGTTCATCCTCAGTCCAGCTAAATATCTAAATGTCTCTTTATAAACTATATTTTGATTGATGCAGATTGGGCCATGTTTTGAATAGTTTGTAATATCCGCCATGTTTTTACTTTTTAATGGTCTTAATACCTTCATCCTCTTCTTTCTCTCTATTTTTTTTTATCTCTCCCTTGGAGCACTATTTGTGCCAGTGGAAAGTCACTCCTTTCAATCTCTTCTTAGGATTACTTCACTTTCTTTGCAGGTTTGTTCCATGGAGGATTACATGAATTCCCGTCTGTTTTTTTTTCTATTGCTAACTATACATTTCCTATCATGCCTTCAATTTCTGCTGCTTCATGTCTATACAATCGAGCGATGGCATCCACTGATCCATACAATGATCAAGGAAACTGTCGATCGAGAAGCCATGTTGTATATATAACACTAGCGTAAAGGGAATAGTATTGGCATGCCCTATTTTGTTTCTTCAGGTTAGATAATGCACTCTGTCACATGCACGGCAGCAGGTATTTTCCTCTCTCAACACAAACTGTATTGCATTGGTTATATTTTTCATTTTTGGTTGCTTTACAGATATTTTTTTAGATAATAGAATAAAATACCAGCTTTTGCCTCGCACATAGCCATGCTTTACAGATATTAGATTGGTGTTTTGTCTCCATTGCCACTATTGCAGGTTTGCCACTATGCCGCTCATGTCCGGCCAGCAACTGCATTGCTAATGACTGTCACTGTGTGAAGCCTTTTGGATTATTAGGCATACATTTTGGTGCAGATATGTAGCACTGTTGATCACAAGTTTGATAAGTCTTTACATTTTATACTGTAGCTGATTTTATTAACTTGGTGCTCTCCTAAAATTATGTGAATTACCTTGATGATAGCTTTTTTTTCATTTGAACTATTTGTTCTAGAGTTCTTTTATGTGATGATCAATCATAATTCATAAAGTATGGGTCTCCTCCGCTATGTCTTGCTTATTTTGTTCATTAAGGAGTAATCATGAACGACATCATCATATACCATCATTTTTTTTTTTGTTCTTGGTGATTTATGGATTAATTGGATTCATAACTATTTTGTTGTTTAGCTTTTCTTTTATTATGATTTCACAATATATCCTTTTTTTTCCAAAAAAAAAAAAGCCCTGATGCAACATGTTCAAAGTTCGTAAAGTTTATATTTTTACTATAGTTATTCAAATATCCCGCAGCAACACGCAGCAACACGCAGGGTATCATCTAGTATTAATTTGATACTGGTTACTACATGTGTGAGAGAATTAAGAATTGCTAATACTAGAAAAAGGAAAGGAATGGGGTGGTGACCTTGAGGAGGAGAAGGCTGGGTGGGCGTGGGGTAGTGGAGGAGGCGGTCGACGCGGAAGGCGAGCGGGAGGCTGATGTCGCATGAGAGGAAGAAGCGGAACTCGCCGCCGTTCGCCATGGCGCTGCTGGCGGATTGCCGCCGCGTGGCGACGCCACCACGGGCCCAGTCCAGACCTGCGCCGGACGCTCCCTTCGCCTGCTTCAGCGTGGGGCGGCGGCGGCGTCCAGCACCAGCCGCGCCCTGGGCCCTGCTTGGGCGACGCCGACGTCCGCGATTTCCTGGAGGCAGGAGCCGAGCTGGCGTCGCTAGAGACGTGCGCGAGGCCAACCAAGACGGTTTGCGTTGCGGCGGCGCTGGGAGGGAGGTGGCGTCGCCGGCGAGTCGGCGGCGAGGAGGAGGAGGAGGTTGGGGATCGCGAGTTGGAGATGGAGTGGGGGATTGGGAAATCCGACCTCCGCAACGATGGAAGGGAGGGGTGCGGGCCCACCTGTCAGTGACTTCTCTTTGTCGTGTAGGAGTACACGTATGAATAACCGGATACGAAAGGTTTTCCTCAGCAAGGCGACATCGACCACTGGTGTGTTTGTGTTTGCAATGCAAGCAATCTGTCACGGAGGTATTCGGAATTTGGAAGGGAAGTACAGGCTTCCGATTTAAGAAAAAAATTAATGATACATTAAGTTATATATACAGATGAAAAAAATTATTCACCGAAACATTTAAATTTTTTTTATTAAACATAGTGAAAATACACGGTGAAACTTATCATTATCACGTATAAAACATTTAGTTTTAGCATATATTTTTCTTTCACCAAAATATAATCATGTGATATCTTATTATAAATATTTAATTATAACAATACAACGGTAAAAAGTATTTTTTAAAAAAAAACCTAAAATACATGCATGATTATATAATCACGAGTGTAGGCAAAGTCTTGTCTAAACTAGGTGAAACCCCACGCATTGCTGCGGGAATTTAGTATAATAACAATAAAAAAAGTAAATTGCACCCACGGTACAATAAATTAGCAGGTGGGTGCGATATAGTGCAAGAACTTAAAGATTAAACGTTTCAGGTCAACAACTTGACAAGTGCGTGCGTTCTAATACAAGAACCTGACATTTTAGTATTTTGGTGTATCAACTTAGCTAAGCATATGTTAGGTGAGTTTTTTTCATAATGTTAATATACCATTACATAGTAATCCTACAGATATTATCTTATAATATTGAATTTAATCTTTAAGAATTGTACTGCACATGCAATTTACATCCAATTAACTTTAAGATTTTTTTTGTTTTTTTCACCTTTTCAAATATTAACCGAAATATAATAATTTCTACATCCAGCTTAATGACTTTCATTTATTAGTTATTAGAATAAAAATATAAATATGCTTATACAAATCTCCAAATTTAAATAAGTATATTGTTAAAATAAGTACTTAAAAATAAATTTATATAGAAAAATTCTCCAAATAATTAAGTTGCCAAATAACTTCTTAATTTATTGATCAAAATCGTACCTACCTTACCTTACAAGTTGTTGCATTTATACGATCACTTATAAAGTTCTTATACTAAATTACACATATTTGTTAAGTTGTTACACTAGAATGCTCATTTCTCAAGTTATTGCACCAAATTGCACCTACCTGCCAAGTTAATGCACCGTGGGTGCAATTTACTCAAAAAAATTACGTGTAAGATAGCTAGATAACATCAGATGAAGTAAATTAATGTGGTTTATGATAATTTAAATTTAAATAGTATGTAGAATGGTGATTCCAACGTAAAAAGTAAGGTAGTATGACTTCATGGAAGAAGAAAAGTAGGGAGATAGTTTGGACCGTAGATTAATCATCTGAAGGCTAAAAACAATTGATGTGATATGACTTAATTAGAGAAAAAAGGAGAAAGATAATTTGCACAATAGATTAATCTTTTAAGCACTAAGTGATGATGAACTATATAATCACATAGGATATCATAAAACATAATAAAGATATACATTGAAACATTATGTGAATTATGTTAGATGATAATTTAGCATGTTTGTATTTGAAAAGCTCTTAAATTATAAAAGCTATAAAGATATAGTATTTTTGCATGATGTTTAAATGTGATGATTGTTAGTGGATGATGATGTGGCATCTTGTTAACTAGTGGATGATGATGTGGCATCTTGTTAGTGGATGATAATGTGACGTCTTTGCATGTTAAGCTTAAGGAGTTAGTGGTGGATAACTTTATAGTAAGATAGGATTCGTTGTCCTAGGATGGGTCATATCTCATCCTAGGTAGAGTTATTTTGGGACGGATGAAGTATTATGCTTTCTACGATCTACACGGCTATGTCCAAACCATCATTTAGTGCGAGAGTATGACCTAGGCAAGCAATTAACCAATTATAACTAGCAATATGCCCAAGCTAACGCTACGGGGTGATATTTGATACTCCCTCTGTTTGACAATGTAAGACTTTCTAGCACTGCCTACATTATTATATATGTTAATGAATCTAGACATATACAGTCTAGATTCATTAACATCTAAATAAATGTGGATAATGCTAGAAAGTTTTACATTGTGAAACGGAGGAAGTAACTCAAACGGAAAAAACTGAAAAAGATGTAACGTCACAATGGCATTTAATTTTTTAATTACATTATATTTCCATACAGAACGGATGCTATTAAAGTTCAAGGAAAAAAAAATACATAAAGAGCTATGCCGGTGACAATCACGCGGTGCAAGGTCCATGGGCCTACGGCTGGTTGCGTTGCTGGGCCGGTTCAAGGCTCATCACAGCACGGACAGAAATAGAAAGCCCAAACGGATATTTCTTCCTGAGAGCCACACCCCACACCGCAGCACACACAGCACGAGAGAAGGCGATGGCGCACTCGCCGTCGGGATCGGTCGCGGCGGCGGCGGCGGGAGAGGAGGAGGGGGCCATGGTGGAGGCGGCGGCGGAGGACGGCGGCGCCGAGTCCAGGATCACCGCGCTCCTCTTCGGTACGTACTCCCCTCGCTAAAACCCTAGCCCCCCTCCCCTCTCTTCCCGTCGCGTCGCGGGTGCTCGCTAGCTAGCCTAGCCTTCGGTTCTTCCCGGCGCGATCGTTCGTGCTCACGATGCGTGGCCCATCCGATTTGGTCTCCCGCTGCTCGATTCGGCGCCGTCGAACGTAGACTCGCGAAGGCGTCCAGATTTTCAGACGATGGGTGCTTCTTCTGAGAGATTTTAGAGCAGTTTGATTTGGGGGTTCGAGGAGAACCCTGGGAGAGTTGTTTTATGTTGAACGAGCAAATCCAATTTGAGTTAGGTTCCCCCATTTCGCTTCGGTGTGTTACGGCTGATTTTGATTTTGTTTATTTCCATGTCGTTTATTTGTCCGGTGCATTTGATTTCATCCGAACCAGGTTTCTAAAATCCAAGCGCGAATTAGTGTTGGAATTACTTTACTCTACTTGATAAATGATAATCATGAGATGCACGCATATTTCACTTTGCTACCTTCGATCGTTTCCTCACATTTAGCAACAAATCATCAAATTTACTAGTGTCGACTGCAACTCGATCGCTTGAAGGATTCCAAATTAATGCACGAACATTTCACCTGCTAGTTTCAAATTACAGTATTGATTGCAACGGGATCGTTTGCTATATTCCAAATTAAACACCGCGCACATTAAGCTCTTGGTGAAACAGTGACAGTGTGGCATTGCTAAGCTAACAACGCCGGTGTTGTTGTTCTTCCTCTTGGCACATTGGCGTGCAGACGTGTCGCAGCAGGTGCAGGAGGCCCTGCAGGGGATGCTGAAGATGACGGGGGAGATCGAGCAGTGCGGCGCCGAGATCGAGGCGGAGATCGAGCGGGCCAAGGAGGCCGTCGCCGACAAGGGCAGGGCGCTCGACGACGACCGCGAGAGGTTCCAGAAGGCCGCCGTCGCCGCGCTCAACATCCTCAGCGGCGGCGCTGCCGGCGACATCTGATCTCATCTGACCACGGTGGCGCGATTATCTGATCAAACTGAACCTGAATGTTGCCATCAGTGTTGAACCCTGATTGATTTACTCATGTAACCCTGATCTCCACTATTCCAGTACTACTTGAGATTGAGAGTACTAGTTGTTACCCGTGTAGGCAAAGTGTTATGATCCGTAGCTGTTGTGTGGTAGGGTAGCAGTACTAGTATGGAGTATGTTCTACTGGAGCTGCAGCTGATGCATTGGGGAAGATAACTCGGTCATCAATCGATGCAGATATTGTGAACAATCGCAAATGAGTTAGTAAGTATACTACTTCAGAGTTCAGAGGTATTCAGACATCTATAGGCTGTGTTCAGTTGGATCCAAAGTTTGGATTTTGGTTGAAATTGGAGATGATGTGACTGAAAAGTTGTGTATGTATGACAGGTTGATATGATGGAAAATGACTGAAGTTTGGATCCAAATTTTGGATCTAAACACAGCCATAATATTTCTCTACCAAAACATCAATGGAGCAGTACATTGGTTAGCCAATGTCAGAGAAATTCAGACATTCATAATATTTCTCTGTTCTGGGTAGAACGACCCTGTTTAGATGGGACTAAAACTTTTAAGTCCCTATCACATCGAATGTTTGAAAATTAATTGTAAATATTAAACGTAGACTATTAATAAAACCCATCCATAATCTTGGACTAATTCACGAGACGAATCTATTGAGCTAATTAATCCATGATTAGCCTATGTGATGCTACAGTAAAGATTCTCTAATTATGGATTAATTAGGCTTTAAAAATTTGTCACGCGAATTAGCTTTCATTTATGTAATTAGTTTTATAAGTAGTCTATATTTAATACTCTAAATTAGTGTCTAAATAGAGGGACTAAAGTTAAGTCCTTGGATCCAAACACCACCTTAGGCTATTGCTTGTACTATTTGGGAACATGTATATGGATGCTGCCATGTGAATTGCTTCTTCGTACTACTGTACTCTCTTTCTCTTTGTCCCATAAAGAACCAATCTAGTTTTGGATATGACATGTCCTAGTATTATGAATCTAAACATACCTCTGCCCACATTCGTTGTACTAGAATATGTCACATCCAATTTTAGATTCGTTTTTTATGGGACAGGGGAGTACAAGTGAAACTATGTCAGAGAACAAAGTCCAAAATGGATCGCCTTATCTCGGAAGCAGCAATTTCGCGAAAAAAAAACCCCTTGAAGCAGTAGGCAAAACATCCCGCTACTAGAAAATTTTGCCAGTTTGTGCTGGAGTACACATCATTGCTGATTCAACAACGTGCGTACGATGACCTACTACAAGCCACGAATGTGACGGAAGCTTCTACTACTCGCATTCGATTCTTCTTCCATTCCAATTTCCACCCTTCCTTTTTCTCCGAAGCTAACGCGGCGAAGCAAATGCCAATCTGCACTTGCATTGCCCGCAGGGCAACTCGGCTTGCAGTTGCAGCCAGCCAAGAAAAGAAAAAATCTTTGACCTGACCAATTAACCAGCAGCTGCGAGATGCATATAAGTAGCCCTTCACCACAAGTGACACCGAACCACACAAGCAACAGCAATTTACTGAGATTATTATTGCCACGAGCTCTACCTGCTCTTAATTCCCCAATCTCGATCGCACACACCAGCAAAAAGCAGCCAAGGGAGCATGAGGACTTCGGCGGCGGCGGCGGAGGCGGCGCCGCGGCGGCTGCGGCGGCGGATCGCCGTCGACCGCGGCGTGGTGGACCAGGCGGTGGCGTACACGCTCATGGCCGCCGCGCTCGCCGTCACCTACCTCGTGCACTGATTTATGCCTATAGCAGCAGCTACTGGGATGAGAATATGAGATGAGATCATGAGGCAGAGGCAAAACTCTCTCTCTCTTTAGTACTAGCATCGCAATACTGCTTTGTGTATTCATCCATTCTTCATTTTTGGATCAGTTTGTACAGTTCAGGCATTTATTTATTAGCGGTGCATGATCGTGATTTTTGTACTCGGTGTGATTTTGTACTTGGTGTAGTGTTCTGTCCATCATCTAACGCGATTACTTTTCGTATTTTTGAAAATACTCCTCCAGTTTCAAAATGTTTGACACCATTGATTTTTTAAAGTACGTGTTTCACCATTTGTCTTATTTAAAAAATTTAAGTAATTATTTTTTCTTTTCATATCATTTGATTCATCGTTAAATATACTTTCATATATATATATAGTTTTACATATTTCACATTTTTTTTAATAAGACGAATGGTCAAACATATGCTAAAATAATCAACGGTGTCAAACATTTCGAAACGGTGGGAGTATTATGCAAAATTTCAATACACGCGTCATCGATAGAGTCTTATCTTGCTAGCCTAGCTAGCGATGAAATGATCCCACCGCGGCAGCGTCCACTACCATTGTACCCCTTGAGAATAAGGTGAACATTACTCAAGTCACACCCGAATCTGAATTGCCTGCCTTAGCATTAGGGCAACGTAGGGATCTGGGGCTTGTTTGGTTAGTAGCACATATAAACATTGGTAGCACAAAAATGCACTCCTTGCGTATTAAAAAAAAATGGTAGCACCAAAATCTAGATAAATTGTGGTATGGTAGCGTTGAAAATGAATGTGTTTGGATTGATGTCAATTGAGAGCCAAAATTTATATTATGGTAAAGAAAGTTCTAGAATTATGTCAAAATAACCATGGGCAATACTAACCATTTGGCTTCAAACCAAACTACTCCCTCCGTTTCAAGTTATAAGATGTTTTAACTTTGATCAAAGTCAAACTGTTTCAAGTTTGACTAAGTTTATGGACGAATATAATAATATTTACATTACCAAATTAGTTTTATTAAATTAATAATTAAATATATTTTATAATAAATTTATCTTAGGTAGAAAATATTACTATTTTTTTTATAAACTTTATCAAATTTGAAGCAGTTTGGCTTTGACCAAAGTCAAACCATCTTACAACCTGAAATGGAGGGAGTACCAAATTTACTATTCAAACTACACAAAATTGGTAAGTCACCTTTTTGACATGGATCCAAACATGCCTTTGGTATTTTGGTTCATTCCGAAATACCATCATACATCCCAGCCAGAATCTACCTATAGTATGATCAACAATTGATCTATTTTAGTAGTTGTTTAGCAAAAGTTTGACAAAAAGAATGAGTGTAGAGAACATATGGTTAAAAGATTGTTTTAGCCAACTACCTCTATCTAAAAAAACTATCCATTCCTAACATCCTAATGTAAAGCTTTTGACGAAAACAAAGACCCAAATATCCCTTATGAATAGAAAATTGCATTCTTTGGTGCATAGGTGAGTGATATTAATTAAAGGGATAAAAATAATTTGATTGTGAACCGGTAGTAGGTAAAAAGATAGAAAATAATTTATTTTAGGACAAAGTTTAAATACGGCGTTGTTGATATTACATAATTTTCATTCGTATTACTCAAACAATTTCTACAGATATAAGAAGATATAAGGTTTGAATTTGAAGGAGCATTTGGACTTAACAACTCAGCGGTACACAAATAGAGATGAACCATCAACACATGCTTAATTAAGTATTACTTAATTATTTTGAACTTGAAAAATAAATTAATATAATTTTTTGAAAAGAAACCCATATATAGTAACTCGCATAATTAAGAAACACATTGTTTAATATTTTTTTAAAAAGTGCAAACTATAAACAAGGGAAAATTTCAGCCAAATGCCCCTTAATTCAGACTCAGCCATGTAAAGAATCTAAAACAAGATAAATGATACTTACATAATTCTTCAATATAAGATAAGTATGGTCAACCATATACTTCAAAAATTAATAACATCGTGTACTTAGAAATGGAGAGATTATATATCCTGCTTAAATTTCGTCCCAAAAAAAAAATTATCAGCCTGCACAAGTCAAGATTATAACAGAATCGTATCATCACTGATTAAATAAATGGTCGCCACAGAAGGATCTGAAGGGAGAGGGTCGGTCAAGTACTCTAGTCAGTTGGTTCTAGTTGACGACTGTCCCACAAGATTGCTGATCCAGGTCCAGAGAATATGTATTTGAACCGGGTCGTACATGCTCGCCAAATGGAAGCCAAACCATCATACACGCGCATCGATCCCGTTTCCTCTTGCTCACGTTTGCCGCGCAGCGCGTGCGGAAAAAACTCCGCGCGGCGGAAACCAGCGCACGGCTGCGCGCGGCGCCCGGCCGGTCCAAGGTCCACTTCCACACGGTGGAACGAGCCTAACACTCCGCCTCCCTCGCCAAGGCCAGTCAACCTCGCGCGTATACTACCCGAGTAAACCTGCAACGCTTGCATCGCCGCTTCACTAGTTGCCACCTGCGGAAGTAAGTAGCAGTATTCGGGTGGGTTGTACAATCTCCTGCTTTCTAAACTGCTAAAAATAATGATACTCGCTATGTTTTTAACTGGAGAGAGCGTATATCCTATTTTGCTAAAATAAATTAACTAGAGAGTGTATATCGTAGTCCTTTTTTTAAGAAAAATAAATGAATTTATTTTTCAAATTTGTGGTTTAATACTAGATAAATCATACTAGTATATTAATGGCTTATTTTGTTTTACATGGAGCCAAATTTTTCACTAAACAGCCGAACTATGATAATGCCTCATAGTCTGTTATATGATTGATTTGATGGAAGTTTCACTGTCCACATTCATCCATTGGCTGTTCTATCTTCCAGAAGGGCTACTTCCTTTTTATAAAATATAATCTCAACAAGTTTCAAATCGATCTTCAAGAAGGATTAGTTGGATAAGGTAGTAGGTAGGATACTTATTAGGATTGTGTTAGCTAGGTTATTCAAATAGTAGTATGATGTGTTATGTGTGGAATGTACGTACGTGGATCGATCTTTTGTATCGAGGAGGAGAAGAAATCTATCGCTTGAATATAATATGCACTGTTGGGGGAATATAACGATGTTCACACGGTTATATATGCCTTGTTGTTGCTCACCAACCCACAGAAAGAACGGTTAGCTCCTCTATGTTGCGCTATATAATTGAAACTTGTTTAGGGCCCTTTGAATCACATAGTTAAAAAAATAGAGGAATAGGAAAAACACAGGATTCTGACAGGAATTGAAGTGTAAATCAGAGGATTGCAAAACACAGGAATGGTCGTTTGATTGGAGCGCAGGAAAAACGTAGGAATCAAATGAGAGAGATAGACTAAAAAAAAATTTTCCAAGAGGTCAGAGCTCTTGCTAAATTTCCTCCAAAATCCACATGCAATATATCATTCCATAGGAATTTCATATGATTTGCAAAGCTTCAATCCTTTAAATCAAATGGCCAAATAGGAAAATTTTCTATTGGATTTAAATCCTATAAAATTTCTGCATAAATCATTTGATTCAAAGGGGCCCTCAGTGTAATTATAAAGATAGATGTGCATTGAGATATCTCATTCATAAAAAAAAAATGTTGGATCATTTTCGTTGTTTCCTTTCTCAACTTAATATGTGTTTAACCACATTACCAAAGAAGATTAGTCATCAGATCACTTACGTCGTGTGCAATTACCACATATTTCCATTCCAGCCGCCCAAAATGTTTTCATTTGTTATTCTAAGCCGAACTTTCTAATTTAGAGGACTATTGAAGCATGTATGGATTTATTACTAATTCACTTGGTTGTTTTTCATTACACGCAAGACATATACCATAATCACACCCGCGCAAATATATTCCTTACTACATATATAGTATTTAAAGAGACGGATGCCGGTGATAAATCTCTTACCTTATTAAATTCCTATTCAAAGCATCATCCGCATAAATAACATCTATATATGGACATCAACATGTGAACTTTGGTTGCTAGAGTCATGCACCCACATCTTCACCACTATATCACACTTATGTGTTCCTTACTACTGTATACTTAAAGAGCTAATATATTTTCTATCTCTACTAATGTTCGATACTACTAACATTTAATTGATTTATGAACCTGAGATTGATTATTGTTTATTAATTTTCTCGCATTTTTTTTACTTTATAATCAATACATTTGAATAATTCCCTCTTAGTATTAATCTTAATCTTAGGAAAAATTGGAACCATGCCATTATAATTTTGCAAAATTTGAGATATGCCATCCTGACCCACATGTCATTAACTCATGTGGGTCCTACATGTCATTGAGATACCGATGACATATCTCAAACTTTGAAAAATTATAATGGTATGGTTCCAATTTACCCATAATCTTATGTATTTGTTTTCGATCTTACTCAACAATCTCGTCTTGACTTTAACTAACGATGCTCTTAAAATGTTACCAGAAAGATTTCTGATTTTCCGCTCTAAACCACGGAAAATCAATTTAAGCATATGCTTTAATTTGTGCATGCATGCAGCAAATTGAGCTAGACACGGCCCAGGCGCCCGCCATTTATGAACCATCCATGATGTGTGTACTAAAACGTGTTTGAAGAACCCTGAGCTAACTAGCCGCCTAACCCTCTCTCTCTATATATATGTCTATCACAAGTCACAACTCAAACATATATACAAATCACATTGATATATACCTACTTCTCTAACACCCCTCTTGTTAATAGTTTCTTCATTATAATTTTTGCAAGAGTTTGAGGGGTAATTAAGTAACTAGAGGTATCTATGGAGATGATGAGCCCTGTGAGATCTTATGCGATGCCGGCGGCGGCCATGGCGGCGGCGTCGTCTCTGCTGCCGGGCCGGCGGCTCTCTGGGCGACGAAGTGTGAAAGGTGATCATGACCATCCGCACGGCGGCGGCGCGCCGGCGACGGCGGCGACGGCGAGGTGGATCGACGGCAAGGCGGTGGACCAGGCTGTCGCGTACGCGCTCATGGCCGCCGCGCTCGTCGCCACCTACCTTCTCCATTAGCTCCGGCCGCCGGCCATCTCAGGCGACCTCAAGATGATCTTGTTGTATTGTTCCGTATACTGATCGCGAGTTGCAAATTACTGTAATTAGTAGTAACTTTTCTTTCGGTTTCTATGGTCTTCTGAATTCGATTTCATTGGTTTGTTCTTGTATATTAGAGAGAAAGTTGAATGCCATCACTTTGATTAATCGGTCGATCTTCTCTCTCTCGAGTCTCGATATTATCTTTGGTTCTTTCAAATGTTTGTGTAATCCAGCATCGTTCATTTGTTCGTTTTCTCGAGCTGAAATGGAAGAAAAAGAATGCCCAGCTATAGCCCCTTGTTCAATTCCTTCTACGGGGATACAAATAATTTTCGTTGCCTTTAAAAAATCAGAATAATTTGACCTGTTTGGTTTGTTACGTCCTGTCAAAGTTTTAGTATTGCCAAAACCTTGGTAATTTTTGCATTATCAAATTTAGTGTATAGAATTGAAACTAGTATAGTCAAAAGTTGGTAGCAAACCAAATACTCTTTTGATTTGGTAGGGCATAAATTACCACCAAACTAAACAAGTTCTCACACTAAAGTGTAAGTGGATCAACCCGTGAACCCACTTTTTTAAGTGGATTCATGGATAGACCCGTTTATACTCTTACCTCATACTCTAAGACCGTGTTCGGTAGTAATGGTTGAAACCTTTACTTCACATGGAAAACGAGATAGCTCATTAGCGATTGATTAACTAAAAAACTTTAAAAATGGGAGATAATTCTTAAAGAAACTTTCATATAACATTATTTTAAACAAAATATATCATTTAGCAATCTAAAAATGCGTGCGAAAAACGAGTGAGTAGAGTTTGGAAAGGTTGGATTCGAACACAACCTAAGCCTATGTTTCGGCACCCCTTGTTCCCAACCCTCTTCCTCGTTTTTCACGCACACGCTTTTCAAACTGCTAAATGGTGTTTTTTTTTTTGCAAAAGTTTCTATACGAAAGTTGCTTAAAGAATCGAATTAATCCATTTTTTTAAAAAATAGTTAATACTTAATTAATCACGCGCTAATGGACCGTTCAGTTTCCGTGCGGAGAAATGAGTTCCTATCCCGGACATGCGAACACAGCCTAAGTCAGTTTCGTGAAAACAAAACGGTATCACCTGAACTCTGAAAATTTCCGGCCAGCCACCGTTGGTTTGATTCGAACTTGGCAAAATCCTGGATGCCATTGATCGTTGGACCGTCGGAGCAGGGAGGCTCAACCGTCGGATTAATCTTAAGGTCTCGCTCGATTTAAAGGAAATCGAAGAGAATTAGGAGAGTAATTTCACACAATAGGTGTGAAATCAAAATCCCCTTCTAATCTTCTTGTGGGAGGGATTACCCAACCAAGCCCTAATAAGGAGAGGCGGCGGGATCATCACGTAGTTCCTATTCCCAAATTCGCTGGGCCCAGCCCACAGAGAGAGCGAGCCCAACACGGCCCATCCACGCAGCCTTCTTTGCCTATATCGTCGAGAGATCGCCTCTTCTTCTGCTTGCCCCGCCGCCTTCCTCGCGACCCCCCCCCCTCTCCTCTCGCCGCCGCCGCGTCCGCTCCACCCGGCGGCGGAGTACTCTCCATCCGCCGCCGCCGCTTGGTACTAGATTTGTGCTGGTAGCCGCGTAGATCTAACTAGAGAGAGAGAGAGAAGGGAGTGAGTGGCGAGGATGAGCGTGGTGGGGTTCGACGTCGGCAATGAGAGCGGCATCGTCGCCGTGGCGCGGCAGCGGGGCATCGACGTGGTGCTCAACGAGGAGTCGAAGCGGGAGACCCCCGCCGTCGTCTGCTTCGGCGACAAGCAGCGCTTCATCGGCACCGCGGGGGCCGCGTCCTCCACCATGAACCCTAGGAACTCCGTCTCCCAGATCAAGCGCCTCCTCGGCCGCGCCTTCGCCGACCCGGAGCTGCAGCGCGACCTCGCCTCCTTCCCGTTCCGCGTCTCCGAGGGCCCCGACGGCTTCCCGCTCGTCCACGCAAGGTACCTTGGGGAGGACAGGGCGTTCACCCCCACGCAGCTGCTCGCCATGGTGCTCTCCAACCTCAAGGGGATCGCCGAGGGCAATCTCAACGCCGCGGTCTTCGATTGCTGCATTGGCATCCCGGCGTATTTCACTGATCTGCAGCGAAGGGCTGTCGCCGATGCCGCCGCCATCGCGGGCCTCCGCCCGCTGCGCCTGTTCCATGAGACGACCGCCACGGCGCTGGCTTATGGAATTTACAAGACCGATCTCCCGGAGAAGGAGTGGTTGAATGTGGCGTTCATCGATGTCGGGCATGCTAGCATGCAGGTTAGCATCGTCGGGTACAAGAAAGGGCAGCTCAACATGCTCTCGCATGCGTATGACCGGTCCCTTGGCGGGAGAGACTTTGATGAGGTTCTATTCAAGCACTTTGCGGAGAAATTTAAGGACGAGTACAAAATAGACGTCTACCAGAATGCCCGTGCGTGCGTTAGGCTGCGTGTGGCGTGTGAAAAGCTCAAGAAGATGCTGAGTGCCAATCCAGAGGCACCACTGAACATTGAGTGCTTGATGGATGAGAAGGATGTGCGGGGATTTATAAAACGGGAGGAGTTCGAACAGATCAGTTCCCCAGTGCTACAACGTGTGAAGGCTCCATTGGAAAAGGCCTTGGCTGAAGCTGGCTTAACAACAGAAAATGTGCACTTTGTTGAGGTTGTTGGATCGGGCTCTCGTGTTCCTGCAATAATCAGGATAATCACTGAATTTTTTGGAAAGGAACCGAGGAGGACTATGAATGCAAGTGAATGTGTTGCCCGGGGATGCGCTCTTCAGTGTGCTGTTCTTAGCCCCACTTTCAAAGTCCGGGAATTTGAGGTACTGATTTATCTATTTAAGTTTCTGTTGACGTTTGTTTCTGCCGTAGTGTATCTATTTTGTCTGATTCTAATGTTCTTGATTATGTAACGTAAACTAGAGAAAGCTGCTGGTTATTTGTCCCACATGCGTCGGTTTTTGGAAGCATTCCATGCTTCATTATTATATTTCTACAAATAAATAGTAAATGTGCCACTAGAAGATTTTAATAGCAGAATGGGTATCTCAGTATTTTTTTTAACTAGAATGTCTTTCAATTACTATATGTGCCCACATATTTATGCCATGTAATCAATGAATGCTTATCTCTTTACATTTTCCGTTTTGACCATCTGATGTCGTTGCCTACTTTTAGAGTCTAATTTGTCATCCATATGGTTTTATTTCCTCTGGGCCTCCCTCTGCTAAGTTAATATGAGCTCATGGCATGTATTAATCCGAATTAATTATATTATTGCTATTCAGGCAGTGGTACTATGTCTTTGGATTATGTGTATCAGTACACTATACTTTGGATTTGGTGTTTTACACACTGTCCACTTGTAACATTACATGAAGCAAGGAGTGCGGAATGGTGTATTGCTTTTATTATATGACAGAATGGCAGAATAAAAATGGTACATATAGAATATATATTTCCACTAAGACATTGTTTGTGATGCTAGTAGAGATGGCTTAATGTCAAATGGACTGGAAATTATCTGTAGTGGCCGATTGTACATTTACACCAACTAATTTCATAGTCATGCCTGGCAGACGTGCTATTTTTATCTGTGAGAGAATGCTTAAGAGATTGGATGATATCTTCTTTTATTGTCCCTGTGCAAATAGTTAACCTATGCTTGATATTTTGCAGGTCAATGATGGGTTCCCGTTTTCAATTGCTTTGTCATGCAAACCGGATTCTGAGAACACTGAATCCGAACAGACTATCGTGTTCCCAAAAGGAAGTCCAGTCCCTAGTGCCAAAACTGTGACCTTCTATAGGTCCAATACATTTGCAGTAGACGTTGTGAGTGTCGATGCAGATGATTTGCAAATGGCTAAAAAAATCAGCTCCTATACAGTAAGCAACATTGCAAACTTTCGCCAGTATTCAAACCTGATGTTATTTGTGGTTCTTAACTGGTTCAACAGTTGCTGATTTGCTATGCTGTGATTGACCGTATGCAGATTGGCCCTTTCCAATCCAGCAAACCTGAGAAGGCAAAAGTGAATGTGAAAGCATGTCTCAACATCCATGGGATAGTCTCTATTGAATCAGCAATGGTAAGTTAAAAGGAATCCCATCATCTTCTCGAGTAGCACGCAATGTCTTTCTGATCTTTGTGGGCTTTGGTTCTTTTGTATGCAGATGCTGGAGGAGGAAGTGGATGTTCCGGTAGCAACTACAAATGAGACACTAAAGGATGATACTAAAATGGATACAGATGATGCACTAGGTGACCCTGCTTCTGGAACTGATGAGAACATGCAGGAATCCAAATGTTCTGCAGATGCCACTCATGGTGCTGCAGAAAATGGGAAGCCAGATTCTGAGGAAATATCTGCTCCAATGGATACTGATGCCAAGGTATGGATCTACTGTTGGGTGCTGGCACACTTCAGCTTTAGTGTATGTATGTAGTTGGCATATCTGTTGCAGTATGTTTTCAAATAACGATGTTCTATATTGTCTTAATTTGGTGGTTTCCTATCGCCATGAATGGAATTCCCTCGTCATGGTAGTGTGTTCAGAGCATTTGATAATCTCCTTTTGAGTTTTAGATACTGTGCTGATTCATAGCTTTGTAAGTGCTATCTTGTGAAGTGAAGCACAACGAATATAATTTAGTTACTTATAACATAGGAACTTCATGCAAGTTGTGATCTATCTTGTTTATGCAAATGAGAGCTGCCCATCTTTTTATGAGACATATTTTCTGAAATGGTTTTTCTTTTTTAGGTTGAGCCATTGATAAAGAATGTGAAGAAAATTGATGTTCCAGTTTCTGGATTGGTTTATGGTGCACTGGGGTCTGAAGAATTGGTGAAAGCTTCTGAGAATGAGTATGAAATGGCTCTTCAGGACAGAGTAATGGAAGAAACCAAGGAGAAAAAGAATGCTGTCGAGGCTTATGTTTATGACATGCGTAACAAGGTATGCCGAGTTTAATTTTGTGATGATATATGAACATTTGAACAGTACCTGATGAGTTTCTTGCGTTCAGCTCTATGACAAGTACAACGATTTTGTCATGTCTGAGTACAAGGAAGGGTTTATTGCCAAGCTTCAGGAGGTTGAGGATTGGCTGTACGAAGATGGTGAAGATGAGACAAAAGGGGTTTATATTGCAAAGCTGGAAGAACTTAAAAAGGTACCTCTTTTATTGCACTTCTTGGTTTACATTGTGTCTTTATGTGTTGGTTTGGTTTGTTCTTGGACATTGAGTTTTGATATGCCTGAACTTTTTTAGGTTGGTGATCCTATTGAGATCCGCTACAAAGAGTGGGCTGAAAGAAGCTCTTCTATTAACCAGCTGGTACATTGCATCAACGGTTTTAAAGAGGTTGCATTGTCTAATAGCCAAGCATTTGATCACATCGACATGTCAGAAAAACAGAAGGTATGTATTCATAGAGATGGATAATTTTCTCTTGATAAGGAAATTCCTTGTATGCCACTCAATGTTCCTCAGTTACCTAATCTGCCAGATAGAAAGTTGCTTTCCTTTAATACCATGACTTTCTAAGTTCCAACTCTTATGTGTCAAGTGTTAACTTCGTTAGGCTTGACTGCCGTTAACTCTCAGCAAGTTGTCTGGTTTTTGTCAAATACCAATCTTACTGTCGCAAATCTATGGCCGAGGTGCCATTTTTTATTTTATCTTCTCTTTCTTATCTATCCCCTGCTCTGTGGAACATGAAAGCAGTCCACAGACACTATCGCCACTAGGTTGAGCACTGCCAGTCTGCCACTAGACATTATTTCGCAGATTTAGCTAGCATAAAACATGTGCTGCTGTTCCTTTCTCGCTCATGCAATCTAACAGCTCTCATCTGCTATACCTTGCTCTTCCACACTCGCTGGGCTGGGGTGTTCCAAATCCACCAGTCCTCAGCAGCTCCTATAGGAAGCACAATTTCTTCTGACACCAAATTGAATCAAATACAGTAGTTTTGCACCACACTGAAGGTGGCCAGTAGGGGAGCAAGTGTAAGAAGCAGAAGAATCATCTCAGCCTCTCAGGAAGAGAAGGAAGGCTGACAAGTTGGCCCGCACATGTGGGACATGCCTTAGGGCAAATACGACATTTTATAACCTGAGAAACATAACATTAATGGGCAGGCTGAAATGACAAATAAGGGTAACAAAAGTTTCTCCAATGGTACTAAAGGAAGTGTGATTTTTACATTGACATCAGGAAGGGAGGAAGTTGGGAGGGAAGGGATTGGCAAGTAGGCCCAGCACTTTGTTGGACATGCCTCAAGGGCAAATCATGACCTTTTTTATAACCCAATAAAAATCATGCTAATGGGAGACAGGCAGAAATGGCAAATGAGGGTAGCGGAAAATTTTCCATCGGCAGTAAAGGAAACACCATATTCGTTATATATGTATACAAAGCAGTTCTGTTACGTCAACATTCCAAGCGGATGCTTGTCTAGTCATTAAATCCTTTGTTAATATGCCTTCTAGTTCTTGTTTTTGTGAATGGTAGTAGCAAAGGAATATTAATGATCGTTTTCTTCAGCTGCTAATCAAAATTTCTGCATCAGGTCCTGGATGAGTGTTCGGAGGCCGAGATCTGGCTAATAGAGAAACAGCAGCAGCAGGATGCTCTACCAAAGCATGCTGATCCTGTCCTCTTAATATCTGACATGAAGAAGAAAGCTGAAGCACTTGACAGGTTTGTGTGTTTATTTGCTATAATAACACACCTGATGTTAGTTTGATTCTTGTGTCTGAGTCAACTACCTCTAAACCTTGTTTCACAGGTCGTGCAGACCGATTATGTCAAAGCCGAAACCTGCACCGAAGCCACAGACCCCTCCTCCGCCTACGCCTCCGACTGAAAGCCCAACAACGCCTGAGCCTCAAACTCCAGAGCAGCAGCAGCAATCCAACGGTGCCGGTGAAGCTGAAGAGCCGACAAGCGAGGGAGGTGCCCAGGATCAGGAGCCTACTGCCGAGCAAATGGACACAGACAAACCTGACGGTTGGGCCGAACCATCGGCATAAGTTTGTTGTCGACAAACTAAGAACTCCTGTGATCGAATGCTTCCTCATGTGGTTATGGTCACTTGGTTTTAGGCCCGTGAATGAGCTAGGAGAACCGGATGTTTTTTTGGGGTGCTGTACTTGGTGGTCACTTCACTTGGTTGGGATTGTGACATGGACATGTTGGTAAGGGTAAAATGCTGGTGGCTTGTCCCTTGAATCACTTTTTTTTTCTTCTCTTATTTAGGATGGTTGAATTGGGGATGAGAGGGCATGCCACCACCCATTTATTCAGGCCTTGGTTCAACACGGGTCTAAACTGTAGCTTTTGTCCAATGGTCCATAACATCTAAGGAAAAACAAATTTTGGTCCATGGGAAGAAACGCTCTCAATACATTTTTTACTGGTTTCCCATTGAGTTCACATTGAGAATTTCCAGTGATCTACGCTCGTGGTACAAAGCTGATGTGTTCATCATAGCAGCATAAAGAATGCCTTAGCGTTCTGAATGGAAATTTTTTGAGGAAGATTGCGAGGTTTATTGTCGATGCACGGATGCTTCATGTCAAGTTTGTGATGGATGAAAAGCCGTGCATGCGAAAATGGCGAGGAGAGCGATGGACACCTGCACGTCTCATCTGCATTTCGGTGTTAAGTTTGTGATGGATGAAAAGCCGTGCATTCGAAAATGGCGAGAGCGATGGACACCTGCACGTCTCATCTGCATTTCGATGGACAAAAAAAAAATGAGGTAATGCACCAGCCGGGAATCGAACCCGGGTCTGTACCGTGGCAGGGTACTATTCTACCACTAGACCACTGGTGCTTCTTGTTGTGGGAAACTAAAACAAAAGAATGACATAAATGGAAGCAAGTTCGTCTCATATTGTCATAAATTGCCCACCAAAAACATCATTTTGAAGATGAATTCTCATGCTTAGTGCTGATAGTAGTTGTAAACAATAATCAAGAAAATGAAGTGCTATATAAGGTCATCCATATTTAACATTTAAGATTTTGATCGAACTTTTAAAAACTGTGGCTTCGGTTTTATATTATAACTAGTGCATACCCCGCGCGCTGTAGCGAAAAATTTGAAAATAGTTTAAAGAAAATTCAAAGAAAACAATCAATATCTAAATGGAGAATTTGTTCGATAGTAGTTGATTATAAATTTCAATTCTACATGATACTTGGGATAGTAATGTATTAAATATTAGAGGGATCGAATGGCTATAGTTTTATAGATATCATGTTTCAATGCACTTTTGAACTTTATACTAATAACTATATTTAGTGGGTTATAAATGCATATAATGGATGGTTGAGATAAAATCATAAGAAGAATCCAAAGGCTATCATTTTCTAGATGATGTGGCTAAATACATGTTAATTTTTTGGTGTCAACTATATAGAATATATAGATAAGATTATATAGTCTAAGTTCATGATATTATAACAATTGTTTTCAACGCAATACTACAGTACCTTTTGTTTTCCTTTTCAGCTAAGCATTTGAGAAAATTTTGGTGATAGAAGTTTCACAAATTTGACATAATCTTATCTTAAATATTAAATATTTGTAACAATAAGAAGCCGAATATACCCTTGGCGGAGCTAACTCTCAGGCGGGTCTGGTAGTCAGCTAGCTACCAGTCTTTACCGCTGACATCTTCACTGCAGATAGCCATCGACGTTCAAGAACTGGTTGACCATCGAAAAACGGTATTCCCTCCGTTTTATGTTATAAGACGTCAAATTGTTTTAACTTTAACTAAGACTGTAAAAAAAATAGTAATATTTTTAACCCAAGATAAATTTATTATGAAAATATATTCAATTATTAATGAAACTAATTTAGTATTATAAATATTACTATATTTGTTTATACGCTTAGTCAAACTTGAAACGGTAAAGTAAAAAACGTCTTATAATCTAAAACGGAGGGAGTATTAGCCATCCGGGCTTCACAACACTAGCAAATAAGCAATCCAATGCTTGCACTAGGGCACACAACAGTTGTGAATGCCATAAGAACCAGGAATCCCACACGCAAGTGCTACCTAGTGTTCCACTGTCACCAAAACACAACAAAACCTCCATAATCTCAGCTAATCTTATCAGCCAAAGCTACTGTTCTGCAAACCATATGGATATCGCAATTAATTAGGACTTAACCCATAATTAGGCATCGCAAAGTAAACACCAACACTTAGCCATGGGCGGCGCCTTGCTGAGCTTCCTCCTCTCCTATCCGGAGTTCATCCTCGCCGCCGCGTGCTTCCTCGCCTTCGCCGCCATCCGCCGCGCGCGCGACGCCCGGCGGCGCGCCGCGCCGGTGCCGGTGAGCTGGCCGGTGGTCGGCATGCTGCCGTTCGTCGTCGCCCACCTCGGCCGCCTCCTCGACGCCGCCGCCGCCGCGCTCCCGGAGCTCGGCTGCACGTTCATGTTCCGCGGCCCGTGGCTCGTCGGCGCCGACTTCCTCGTGACGTGCGACCCCGCCGTGTTCCGCCACTGCCTCGTCGCCAACTTCGCCGGGTACGACAAGGGCCGCGACTTCGCCGAGATGTTCGACGTCGTCGGCGACGGCCTGCTCGTCGCCGACGCCGCGTCGTGGGCGGCGAAGCGCCACCTCGCCGCGAGCGTCTTCACCTCCGCCGCGTTCCGGGGCTTCGTGCTGTCCACCGTCGAGCGGCAGACGCGGCGGCTGCTTGTGCCGTTCCTCGACCACGCCGGCGGCGTCGTGGAGCTCGAGGACGTGTTCATGCGGTACTCGCTCGACGTGTCGTACACCGTCGCGTTCGCCGCCGACCTCGACTCGCTGTCGGTGGCCAGCGCCGCGGAGCCGTTCCCGCCGTTCGGCGAGGCGACGAGGGTCACCGGCGAGGCCGTGCTGTTGCGGCACATCGCGCCGGCGGGGTGGTGGAAGCTGATGCGGTGGCTCAACGTCGGCGTCGAGAGGCGCCTCGCGGACGCCAAGGCGGTGCTCGACGAGTTCGTCTACCGCGAGATCGCCAACCGGAGGTCGCGCCCCGCGCCCGCCGTCGCCGGAGGAGACGACCTCCTCTGCATGTACATGGCGTCGCCCATCGACCCCGCCATGTCCGACCAGACACTCCGTGACGCCGCCGTCGGCTTCATGTTCGCCGCCAAGGACCTCATCGCCGCCGCGCTCACCTGGCTCTTCTACATGATCTGCACCCACCCGCACGTCGAGGCCAAGATCCTCGACGAGCTCAGGTCCCTGCACACCACCACCACCGCCGGCGCCGTGGTGTTCGACGCCGATGAGCTCCGGGCGGCGACATACCTGCACGCGGCGGTGCTGGAGACGCTGCGGCTGTACCCGTCGGCGCCGTTCGAGGAGAAGGAGGCGGTCGGCGACGACGTGCTGCCTGGCGGCACGGCGGTGAGGAAGGGGACACGGGTGGTGTTCTGCCTCTACGCCATGGGGAGGGTGGAGGGGATATGGGGCAGCGACTGCCGGGAGTTCCGGCCGGAGCGGTGGCTGTCCACCGGCGACGGCGACGGCGGCGCCGGCAAGGTCCGCCAGGAGCCGAGCTACAAGTTCGCGGCGTTCAACGCCGGGCCGAGGAGCTGCCTCGGCAAGGACCTCGGGCTCAGCAACATCAAGATCGCCGCCGCCGCCATCGTGTACAACTTCACGGTGGAGCTCGTCGCCGGCCATGTCGTGGAGCCCAAGGACTCGGTGGTGCTCCACACCAAGAACGGCCTCATGGTCAGGGTCAAGAGGAGGGAGACAGCTTGACAGCTTGAGGGAGACATTGTGTTCCAGAATTCAGAGCAAAAGTATAGAGAAAAATAATGGAGTGTTAGCAAGGAAATTAAGCAAATCTCACTCCATAGATTCTGATTTATACCATATATAGAAAGTATGTTTGATTCAGTTAAGAATTGTAATTATTCATGTGACAAGAGTAACACCACTTGACACTTGCTTACTGTTCATTGTAAGGTAATAATGTACAAAATGTGCTTGGAATTTACATAACACAGATTTGTCAGCTCCATGGCTTTCAGCATACATTGTCACTCATATGTCCACATTTTGAACAAAGTCACAGGTTCATGTATTGTGCTAGAAAGAACAAAATCATTTGATTAAAAAGAATGAACAAATTCCGCATTTTGCCGATTGTTCTGCTTGATCAAATCAACCTCATTGGATTAATTCCTGAACTCCAGATTGCTCTAGTTAACATAAATTTGTCAGTGAAAAATTGCTTACAAAGCGTCTACAGAAGAAAGTACACGCCAGTTAGCCACTTCTCTCTACAATCATCCCCCATGAGTATGCAATAGCTGATATTGCTGATAAGGAGTTATCCTAATGAAGAACAATCCTTTGGTTTCCCTTTTTGCATTCCAGCAAATAGACGAACAAAAGAATCAGTATAAGAATTTGGTCACAAGGATCTGCAACAATGTCTTGCAGTTCAGTCAGCCCAGACAAGCACAGCTATTCAATCGTTTCTGTGTACACATAATCAGCAAAACAGAAAGGGTAACAATAGTTGCTGCTGTAAATATGACTGCCTGCACAAGCCAAAACAGATAAACTGTAAGGGGAAAAAAACATTGCTCTAGAAGGCGAGCATAATGAAAATAAAGGGATAGACTCCATGACCATAAGCTAGATAATTAGTTTATCATATTTGTGGCCCATTTTCTAAGTTTTCTTGCATAACAAAGAAGGCTACACAGGCAATGCAACATCATTGAGATAAAGCAAATTATGTTAAACCTACTGTATATCTTATACACTAAATACAACTGATCTTTGACAGTTTGCTCCAGGTTTTAGATATAAAAAGACTAACCAGAAAAGCAGAAGCAGCAAGCCCAGGCCGCTCTCGAGGATCGCGGTTGTAGTACTTGCAGTAATAAAGAAGAGCTGCAATGTACCAGATCAAGGGGCACAAGAAACCTAAAAGAAAACTGCAAGAATAGTATGTTTAAGATAGTTACTAACTTATGATGGTGCATGTGCATGCAAACTATGAATTTTCCATATAGTTTTCCCACCATGTACAGATCATCGTACAAGTGAGAGTGGTGTGAAGTGACAAAGGAAAAGGTGGAAATTTAAACTAAAAGATATCTACCATAGTTGTCCCCTTTGTTTAATAAATTATTCAAAATCAATCTATAGAATGGAGGAATGGACTGACTCACCAGCACCAACCAATTCCACAACCAAAGAAGGGAAGTCGTCTCTCAAACATTGCCAATCTTGGATTTTCTTCATCTGCAAGTAGTGTGTACCTGCCAAGGCAGGCCTGGCACTGGCAAAATTCATCTGAGTTTCCTGCGAAATGAGGAAGAATGAATTGAAAAAAATAAGACAAGCACACCTATGTCAAATTCTTGAGCAAGTACAAAAATAGGAGCGAGAACCATTAGCAATATCAGACAACTAAGAGCATGAGCAGGCACAAGAAGATAGTTACCTCCCCTCATAAAATCTATATTATAGTTGTTTGGCAAAGGAACCACCTAGAACCTTGGAGCTTCTCAACATTTCCAGGTAACTCCTAGTTGTAATGGCTTAATGACGACTACGGTCATATGAATTAGTCATCAAAGCAAGCAGCTGGGAAGTTCAAATATGAGATGTTAGGAAGAAAATAATCTATCAAGAGCAACCTATAAAAAGAAAATGAATTTGCATTAAAGCACAAGAGCACACACACAGACATAAATTTCAGGTAACTATATAAAGAAACCATAAAAATGTACAATTTTTTAACTTTAGCAATATGTTACCATTGAGAAAAAAAAACCAATATATCACCTATGCATTGGATGAACGTGAAATAACCATTCATTTATTAATGTATGAAGAGGGCAAATACTCAATGTTCACAGATTCAATTCTAAATTCGTTATCACAATTATCAATAAATTTCTGTAGGTTAAGACAACATACAAATTGAGAATACTATGCAAGAGTAAAATAGTAAAAGTGACAGCCGCACAAGGCGTAATGTAAGCAATCAGCGAAAGTACAATTGTTGCATAACTATTTGGCTCCCCACTTCATTGCTTCCGGCTAAGCATCTTCCAGTGGAGGAAGGGGGGCAACTAGTCACTAGTGAATGTGCATGCTTTTCCATTGCTCTAGGTCTGCAGATTAAATTCCAGCAATAGCAGATACTCTAGTGTTAAGACAGCCACTATTTTTAGAAACTCCCTACTTTTTATATGAACTGGATTAAGTGCAAGAAGCAGAACGAGAGGAAGGGAAGTAGGAGTACGTATGATACACTGCCCGTACAAACGTGCCAAATACAAGTATACAGCTTATGCTGGACCATAACGTCTACAATTAATTCTGAACCAAAAGAACTTTCAGAAACAGTCAAACAGACAACATCCCTGACCATCCCAGGAAAACTCTGCCCCATCCTAGAATATTGCAGATACTTGACTAGCTCGTATTATGCCTGCCGGAGCCAACACAAGCTCGATCTGTGCTAATCTAGCCTGGCGCTACAGAAATCCAGACTCCAATAACCGGATTCCGGAGCCTCATTGCTCAACCTGAGCTAGTAATTTGGTCGAACAGGTTGCGCGCATGCCCAGAAAGTCAACGACCAACAACGACTAACCTCCCCGCTCCAGGGCAAGATCCCAGCTACCCCCAAGATTCAGCACCTCCCCCCACACATTCCCAGATTACACTACTACGCAGCACACAAACACCACAATCCCGACACGCTCCGACAAGAAACCAAAGAATCGAGCCCGCGATTCCTAACGGAAGCAAGAAACGGCTACGAAAAACTTACATGGCGGAATCGAATCTGCTGTGGGGGGAGAAGAAGCCCATGAAAGAGACGGGATTCGCGGGGCGGTGTATGCTTCGTCGTAGCTTTGCGGGTTGGGTGGTCGAGAGGGAGTGGAGAGGAGAGGATGCGGCGGGCGAGCGAGCGAGAGGCTTCGGTGAAAGCTGAGCTCCCCTCTGCTCCTCGCCGCCGTTGTTTTTCTTCCTTTTTCTTTTTCTTTTTCTTTTTGTTTTTTTGGTTTTGGTATTTTTGATGCTCGCCGTTGTTTCCGAGGAGGTGACGCTTGATTTTGTTGGAACGTTGACGTTACCACGTTAGGCCTGGTTTAGATTCTAATCTAAAACTTTACACCCTATCACATTGAACGTTTAAACACTTAAATCTCTTCTCTATCTCTATTATTATAAAAATTGAAATGTTTTTGTCGGTATTTTGGTATGTTATCCGTGTATGAGTCGGTTTTTAAATTCGTTTGCTTTTGAAAATACATATCCGTATTTGAGTCAGTTCTTTAAGATCGTTCACTTTTGGTAATACGAAACGAATCATATCGGACTCCTAACTACAGCTCATGATTTTCTAAAAATATATATATCCAACCAAACTCCCACAGTAAATTTCATCTTAACTAAACCATGTAACAATAATAAGATTAAAATAGACTTTACCCGTTACAACGCACGGATATTTTTTCTAGTAAAGTATTAAATATAGGAAAAAAATAACTAATTGCACATATTGCGACTAATTTACGAGACGAATCTTTTAGACCTAATTGCTCTATGATTTGATAATGTGGTGCTACAGTAAACATTTGCTAATAACAGATTAATTAGACTTAATAAATTCGTCTCGCGGTTTACTGACGGATTTTTTTCTGTAATTAGTTTTTTTATTAGTACCTGAACACCCCATGTGATACCCTATATATTATCCGATGTGACACGCCAAAACTTTACACCCCTGGATCAAAATACCCCATTAGAGCATTTCCAACCACCTCTCCAAATCGAACTCTCCAAACACCCATATAGCCAACTCTCCATCTGATTTAGCTAGTTAAACTAGATGCTCACTCCAACAGACTTTCTATTAATCCTATCCAAAAGTTTGGCCAATCTGTTGGACATCCTTTTTGTGCTTGAATGGCTAAAGTTTGGCTTGGAGAGATTGATAGAGAGGCTGTTGGAGATACACTTAGAGGAATGGCAGGCCGTTGTAAAATATAAGGATTTTTTCACTCGCTAGTATTGTACTCGCTCCGTTCTAAAATATAAAATATAAGGATTTTATGTGGATGTGACATGTACTTGGATGTATTGTATCTATATAAAATCTCTTATATTTTGTGACGGAGGGATTATAATTTTATGATTTTTAAGCTAGCACTGTCGTAGAATCAATTTGGATCAGATTTGAAGTCTCATTTCACTATTATTCACATGTCAGTGACGTGTAGTTTAGTCAGAAAATCCCTTCTGGCAACATCTCATGTAAAGTACAACATAAAACAATGCGGGATGACTCCAATCATGCTGGTTTAAACTAACAGCACAAACTCCCTTTGTTGATCTTAAAAAGATTTCCAGCTTTTTCGCTTCTTTTGAAGCATGAAAATTTAGGGGTTGTTTAGTTCACTATCACAATTTATCTCACAATACCACAACTCAAGTTAGACATGTTTGTCTAAGCTAGACATCTGTTTAATTCGTGTCACACCTATAACAAGATTCCTTCATTATGACCTAGGTCTCATATGTCATCAGCACATAAAAATGGGGTAAGATTGTTCTCTAATAGTTGAAGTATGGTTTTAATTTTATTGGCCACATGTTAAGGCTGTGTTGTTTTCCATGAGTTCCCAACTCATAGAACTCAAGTTAGCTAATAAGGCATCGTTCGTTTAGGGGTGACATAGGGGTGACAGGGGAGATTGGCTCTCGTTTTCCGCGCGCACGCTTTTCAAACTACTAAACGGTGCGTTTTTTTGCAAAAAATTTCTATATGAAAGTTGCTTTAAAAAATCATATTAATCCATTTTTAAAATTTAAAATAGTTAATACTCAATTAATCATGAGCTAATGGCTCACCTCGTTTTGCGTATCTTCCCAATCTCCTCAATCCCCTTCTCCTCGAACACTCCCTAAAAGTATAGCAAGTTTTTACAGTGTGAATATGCGAACCAAACATGCCGAAACTTCCTATAGCCCACTAACAAAGAAGCCTATACATTAAGCTGAATAAAATGTCTTGCCAAAAAAAAGCCCATGAAGAAAAGACAGGGTTCACAGGACAGAAATTCGGGAAGCTGGGAGAGAGAGGGGGAGTGCAGAGAAGTAAAGGAGCAGCTCTAATATGTGTTATTTTTGGGTTAATTGGATCTATGCCACCACAAATATACCATTTTAGACAAATACCAGCACTATTCACGATATCAGCTACACTGGAATTTAGGAAAATTGAAACCGTGCCACTCCGTCATGATATCTGTCAAAAATCTTCATTATGACATTAGCCTCAACTGCACATGGACTTAGCTGTCAATTCCATCTTCTTCACCTCCTTTCCTCTTTTCTCTTTTCCCTACCTCTCTTTCCGGTTTTACTCTCTCTCCGACGCTCACTGCCATTGTTGGCGTCATCGACCACCTCCGCGGCGGGAGGGCTCGGGAGTCGCCGCTCTCGTTTTTGACTCCATCCACAGTAGGAGGGCTTGGGAGCCGCCGCCGTCATCGTCTTCAACCCCATCCATGGCGGGAGGGCTCAAGAGCCATCACCGTCGTCGACCTTCTCCCATCCGCGGCGGGAGGGCTCGGTCTCCGCCACCGCCGTCGTTGTCCTTCGTAGCAGTCATGGAAGATGGAGGAAGAGACGGGGAAAAAAGAAAAGGGAGGATGGAGGAAGATGGAACTTACATGTGGGTCCCATGTTTATGGGTCTGACGGAAAACGTGACGATGATGGTATGGTTCAAATTTCTCTAAATTCTAGTGGCACCTAGCGGACATCGTGAATAGTAGTGGCATTTATCTAAAATGTCATATTTGTAGTGTCATGGATCCAATTAACCCTTTATTAATATCTTCCAACTACCCATATATTTATATTTCTTTATAACTATTACATGTCATCTCTGTCCATGGCTACAAGCATTATTTCTCTCCCTCTCTTCCCTATACCTAACGACAGTCAGGAGAGAGAGTGACAGAAGAGGTGAAGGATGAGGGGAAAGACGGAGGAGGAGGGCCGACGGCGGGCGGTGCGGGCTCGAGCACAGATGAAGGCGAAGAAGTTGCGGGTGGTGGGGACGGTGGCGCGGCAGGCAGCGCTTGCAGAGAAGCTACGGGAGACGGCACAATGCCAACAGTGGGGCGCTCCGGCGATCTCTCTGCCATATCCACCACCACTCCGCCTTTACTCATGCGATCTCCACCACCAGATTCAGAATGCACATCCTCTCTACCGTTACACCCACCTAGTATGCACTCCAGATGATGGCAGTTAGGGGATGGCATGAGGTGAGAGAAACATCAAATTGGGCATTTATCTCTCCCGGAGAGCGCACACGCTAATTTTGAATGGCTATCTGTTCGAGACTAATTTTCTTCTAACATTCTCCCTCCATTCCAAATTAATCTACATATAGTTTTTTTGAGGTTATTCCAAAATGATCTATATATTTGTGTTCATTCATTAAGTCTATTCGTTATTTGTGCATTGGAGTAAGGCCTCGTTTAGTTACCCAAAAGTTTTTCCCAAAAATATCACATCGAATCTTTGGACACATGTATGGAGCATTAAATATAGATTAAAAGAAAAATTAATTGCACAGTTATGGAGAAAATCGCGAGATGAATCTTTTGAGCCTAATTAGTCCATGATTAGCCATAAGTGCTACAGTAACCCACATTTGCTAATGACAGATTAATTAGGCTCAAAAGATTCGTCTCGCGGTTTCTAGGCGAGTTATGAAATTAGTTTTTTCATTCGTGTCCGAAAACCCCTTCCGACGTATGGTCAAACATCCGATATGACATCCAAAAATTTTCATTTCGCGAACTAAACAGGCCCTAAATGGACATTGATGCATGCATCCATGCACACAAGTATTTATAACTCATATGCAATATCTTGATTTGCTATTGGCTAGGAAATAGTGGGGATGGTGCATGCATTGAGTTTGTTGCTAGATTAAATATAGTATGAGAGAGTTATTAGCTTTTCTTGGTCTTGGTGTACCTATGAAATATGTATATCAATTTGGAATGGAGGGAGTAAGCCATTTTCAGGATGGAGGGTGCGATGGACTATCTGCTAGGGGACGCTCTAATAGGTATCGTGATGGTGGTAACAATGGTTCAAATTTTATAAAATTTCAGTGGCACATAATAGGTTTCATCAATAATAATAGTATTTTTTAAAATAAGCAAATTTATAATGACACCTATCTAAAATAACCCATAAATATTTATAGCGGGTACTAAGGAAATAGATCGTCCGATTTTGTGCAGTTCATAGTTGTGGCACTGACGTATCAGCCGATGAGTCTCATCCGGGCACTAAGGGCACCCGCAATAGTTATCTATAGGCTCTCTATAAGAGATCCATATCAGCATATTTTCCTACTTGGAAGAGATTAAATGAAGAGAGAGAACAAAGCTATCTACTAACTTAGAGATAGTCTATAGATAAAAACGACGCAATGGATTAGAGAGCTATAGATACCCATATAGGCATACTATTAAGATGATTTACTATTAATCTAGTCTATTACTGAGATGTACATATTTTACAGAGAGCACCTTACTTTACTATTGCGGGTGCTATAAATGTACCCGGGTCAGCGGATCAAACGTTACCACCGCGTTTTGGTGTCATTTTCAATGCTGCTACTGCTAGTACTACTCCTAGAGCACTAGCAATAAATAACAATAAATGTGAGAGCCACATCAGAATCTTCTTCGTTCGTTCCTCGAACCTCAGATGCATGCACCGCAGCTCGATCAGCTCACTCCTCCCTCTTCTACTATAAGATCGACCCTTGCTAGGTCGTCCGTAAGATCACTCACTGGCCACTTCATCTTCTTGCTCGCTCTCGATCGATTGCTTGGAAGAGCTTAACTCCTCATGGAAGGGCTTAACAGCCTCAAAGCAGAGGAGCAGCATTGCCATGGCGGCGGCGGCGGCCGGGTGTCCCAAGCAATCGCGATGCTCGTCGCGACGGCGGTCACGGCGCAGGCGGCGTACCGGGCGCGCCACGCGCCATGGGACCTCGCCTTCGTGCTCTTCGCCTACGCCGACCTGGGCCTCCTCTTCCCGTGCCTCTCGATGTACGAGCGCCTGCCGCCGCTGGAACAGGAGGAGGACGGCGACGACGACAGTGCGGCGGTGAGGCGGCGGCGGCGGTCGCTCAAGATGGCCGTGTGGGCGCTGTCGACGGCGTTGAGCGCCGCCTTCGCGTGGCGCGTGGCGGCGGTCATGCCGGCGCCGGCGATGAAGGCCGCCGTCTGGGGGATGACGTCGACGGTGGCGGTCGCCGGATTCTACCTCCTGTTCGTCCACAGGCCTGCCGCCATTTCGTCCTATTCCGAGCTGGATACTTGCAAGCACGAGCAGGCGTCGTCCAAGCTCGATCAGATCCTATAACAAAAGATTTGGGGAAGAGGAGCTTAATGTTTAATCTTGTAGTATTCAATGGAAATTTAGGCTGTGTTCTTTCCTAGGTGATCTGGGTGATTGTCACTGAGTTTTATTTCGTTTTCCGCGTACACCCTTCCCAAACTACTAAACGGTGTGTTTTTTGAAAAAAAATTATATAGGAAAGTTGCTTTTAAAAAATCATATTAATCTATTTTTAAAATTTAAAATAGTTAATAGTCAATTAATTATGTGCTAATGGCTCGCCTCGTTTTGCGTATCTTCCCAATCTCCTCTACTTCTCTCCTCAAACACAGCCTTAATCCTCACGTTTAGACTATAGTCAAAGTCAAACTTTGACTAAATTTATAGACAAATATAATAATATTTATAATACCAAATTAGTTTCATTAAATCAATAATTAAATATATTTTTATAAAAAAATGTCTTGGGTTGAAAATGTTATTATTTTTTTTACAAACTCAGTTAAATTTAAAGCAATTTGATTTTAACCAAAGTCAAAACGTCTTATAATCTGAGAAGAAGGTAGTAGCAATAATAAGGCTGTGTTCTTTTGGAGCCCCTCCGCTCTACACGTAAAACGGAGCGATAGATTAACGCATATGATTAATTAAGTATTAGCTAGAATTAACTTAAAACATGGATTAGTATGATTTTTTAAAACAACTTTCATATAGAAACTTTTCGTAAAACATGTACTCCCTCCATCCCAAAATATAGCAACCTGGTACTGGATGGGACACATCCTAATACAACAGATCTAGATGTGTCCATGTCCAGATTCAGTGTCTAGATTCGTTGTACTAGATGTGTCCTTGTCCAGATTCAGTGTCTAGATTCGTTGTACTAGGGTATAGGATGTGTCCCATCCAGCAAAATGTTACTATATTTTGGGACGGAGGGAGTACCGTTTAGTAGTTTGAAAAACGTGTACTCGGAAAATGAGGGTGAGTGATTGGGAACCAGGGATTCCCGATTCATATAGATACTAGGACTTCCTCATAATGTATGGCGGAATTTTACAACAAATTTATAATTGGTACCGAACTAATTCGAACAAAAATCATGTAAAATTCATACATTGCTAGTTTCCTGTAAAAGAAAATGCCCATGCTAGATTCGCGTCTTTTTATCTACGGATAAAATACTTACAACTTACTATGGGCAACAGAGAATATATCATAGTATATTTTTATGTAGTAACACTTGTTTGCATATTTAAACAAGAGGACAAATCTAGTGAAAACAAGCTAAGGGCCTCTTTTGGGGAGCTTAAAATGCTGAGAAGCAGCTGATCGGTAGCTAGCTTCTAAGAATCTAGAAAAGCTGGGTTTCCCAGCTTCTGGATTCTACAACTATAACTTCTCAGAATCTGAACAGTTTGGGGGAGCTTCTGATTCTGGGAGAAACTGGGAGAAACTACAGTAGCTAGCAACTTCCCCAAACAGGGCCTTAAGTGTTGAAAACTTGTAAAAATCATACCTAAAAGTTTTGTAAATTAATGAAAAAAAATTACTAGAGATAGGTGTAGATATAAAATAAATTTTTACCAAATCTCAAATTCAAACTTAACTTCATTTAGTAGTAATAAAAAAGACAAATATCATGTGAATAGTAACAAGACACTATTCACCCAAAATTTATCTGTTTTTCTCTCTTAAACGAAGTTGAGTTTCAGTTTGAGATTTGGTGACAATATATTTCATATCTACACATATCTTTAGTATTTTTTTTCAAAAATTTACAAAATTTTTAGGTATGATTTTTACAAATTTCCAACACTTAACTCGCTTTCACTGGGTATGTCCTCCTTAAACATATGGTATTTACTTGTTTGATCTAAACTTGTTTAGTATCATTTGCTTGCTTATTTAAATAAATTGTATTTACTTGTTTGAACCAACCTCGTCGTGTTTTGCTGATTGTGGGTAAGAAGTGAATCCGAGGTAGGTTTCCTTCTTGTCACTGCCGGAGGGGAGCACCGAATTTCGACGGTCTTTCAAGAAGGTGTTGAAATTATAAGCACATAATGATTTAATTTATTCCATAAATAAATCATGATATTGCAGATGTAGACTAGATTGAACGCATCATTAGATCTACATATGTAAACTAAGCACTAAAATATGAACAGATCAAATATGCGCAACATGTCGAACACGTACCGAGGTGGCGGAAAGACCGGTTGCTTGGCAGGAACTACTCGCGGTTGCGGGCGTCAACGAAGGCGTGCAGCACGCGAGCGGAGAGGAAGGCGAGCCATCACAAACGAACAGGGAGCAGTCGCGCGAAGCGCTTCCCAAAAACCTTATTGCCGCCTTCTCCTTGTGCAGGACGTCGAAGGCAGAGGTTCCGGAGACGTGCTCTCCCGATCGCCGGTGCACGCCGGCGAGCGGGATGGAGTAGTCTACGAGCGACAGCGCAGTACAGAGTAGGAGTCAAACCCTAGATTGATTTCGCGTGTGTTGCGTGTAGGCGGCGGCTCGGTTTATATAGAGATAGGTCGCTTAATCAGGGCGCCCGCACGATCTCCACTCCGTGTAACCGAACCGGATAAGTCGCGCGTAACTTATCCGGACTCCACGCCGTTTTCACGCACCAGATTTTTCGGAATGTTTCCAAAACAAAACAAATCCGAATTTCCCGCAGCAAAACAAAACTACAAAAGGAGGCTGCATCTGCGCAAGGGTGAGGAGCCAATTTTGCGGACCATTCAACTCGTACGTCGTGCACGCGCACCGCCTGCCCTGCCCTGCCAGGCCAGGCCAGGCGAGAGAGTGCACGTGTGTGTTCCCCCTCTTCTCTCCACCACACATGCTTCAAGTGGCTAGGAGGGCATCCTCCCTTTTAAGGAGGTCCCCTCTCCTAGAATAAGCAAGGCGGTACTAAACTCCACATGCATGCCATCCCATGTGGTGGGCTTTTGTGATTTTCCAAAGAATTAATCTTCGAGTGGGCCTTAGCCCATCCATTAATTCCAACAATCCCCCACCATATCTCAAAATCCCACTGAGATTTGCCTTTTCCAATGTACTGTTTATATACCAGCGGTTCGATGGAGACCGATTAAGGTTGAACATCCATCTAGAACTCCAAGCTACACTTACTCACAACTTGAACAATGGACTACGCCTTGAATTGCAAGTCTTGTGCAAGCAAGTTTCACTCAGAGTCTTATCTGGTACCAGACCGTCTGTAGACTACCCCTCGGGTAGAGCGTATAAGTCATACTCCTAGGTTTTTAGTAAGCTTCCTAGAAGATTCACCCAAAATCTCCATAGACTGCGACCAACAGTCAAGCTCACAAAGGTGAGTTCTTTCGAGAATGCTCTGCAGGACAGCATCTTCGCTAATTAAAGCCAACAGAACTCATTAAGGCATAGCCAACTTGTCTTGCAGCTCACGAGAGTACATGCATCTTCACTTAGAGAGGGTATAGATTGGTACTCTCCTCTAGTTTACTAATGGTTTGTTCTTCCCAGGTTCTAATTCACGGGATCTTTGATCACATAGACTGGGTTACCACCATAGTATAACTCACATGGGTCTCAAACCCATCTCTTTCGATGCATTGTCTATCACATTTCGTGATAGTCCCTTCGTGAAGGGATTTGCCAGGTTTCTAGCTGTTTGGATGTAATCCAACGTTATAACTCCGGAGTTTCTCAATTTCCTAACAGACTTCAATCGTCTTTTCACATGTCTAGACGATTTCATATTATCCTTAGAACTATTCACTTTGACATTTACCGTTTGATTGTGACAGTTCATAAGGATAGCCGGCACCGGTTTTTCAACAATAGGCAGATCCATTAATAGATCACGCAGCCATTCTGCCTCAACAGTAGCAGTATCCAGTGCCGTCAGCTCTGCTTCCATGGTTGACCTCGTCAAAATGATATGTTTACAAGACCTCCACAAAACAGCACCACCACCTAGTGTGAAGACATATCCACTAGTGGCTTTGATCTCATCCACATCAGAGATCCAGTTAGAATCACTATATCCTTCTAGTACTGCAGGATACCTAGAATAGTGAAGCCCCAATTCCATAGTACCTTTCAGATAGCGCATTACTCGCTCAAGCGCACGCCAGTGATCATCTCCCGGATTAGAGGTAAACCGGCTCAACTTGCTCACAGCAAAGGAGATATCAGGCCTAGTTGCACTAGCCAGGTACATCAGCGAGCCAATGATTTGGGAGTATTCTAGTTGGTTCCTAGCAATTCTCTTGTTCTTGCGAAGCAACAAGCTAGGATCATAAGGTGTTGGAGAAGGCTTACTATCAATGTAGCCAAAGCGATTCAAGATCTTCTCCACATAATGGGATTGCAAGAGTGTAATCTCATTCTCACCTCTAATTAGCTTAATGTTTAAGATAACATCAACTACCCCCAAATCCTTGATATCAAAATGTTGAGACAAGAATGATTTAACCTCATTTATCACCTCAAGGTTTGTCCCAAATATCAGTATGTCATCAACATACAAGCACAGAATAACTCCCTCACCCCCACCATGGCGATAGTACACACATTTATCTGCCTCATTGACTGCAAAGCCTGCAAATGTCTATGTTTTGTCAAATTTCTCATGCCATTGCTTAGGAGCTTGTTTCAGACCATACAAAGACTTCCAAATTTGCACACTTTGCCTTCTTGACCTTCAACTATAAACCCATCAGGTTGATCCATATAGATCTCCTCATCCAGCTCTCCATTAAGAAAAGCTATCTTAACATCCATCTGATGAACGAGAAGACCATGTGAGGCTGCTAGGGAAAGTAGCACACGAATTGTGGTCAATCTAGCAACAGGTGAGTAAGTGTCAAAGAAATCTTCGCCTTCTTTATGAGTATAGCCCTTAGCGACAAGCCGAGCCTTGTACTTTTCAATAGTACCGTCATGCCTAAGCTTCTTCTTGAACACCCACTTGCACTCCACAGGTTTACACCCATAGGGTCGCTCTGTCACCTCCCAAGTCCCGTTAATGGAATCCATTTCACTATGGACAGCCTCCTTCTAATAGTCTGCATCAGGAGATGCATATGCTTCTGAAATTGACTTAGGAGTGTCATCCATAAGGTACACAGTGAAATCATCACCAAAAGACTTAGTCGTCCTTTGTATCTTACTCCTTCGAGGAGCTTCACTGACATCCTCCTCAGTGACATGTTCAT